AAAAAAAAGTGAGAAAAACGATTCTTTTTAGCATTCCCATTTAAAAATATTAGTTAACTTTTCCCATTTTTTTGATACTTAAAAAAAAAAAAAAAATTTTTTTTATTTTCTTTTTTGGTTGAAGAAAGCATTTAAATGGTTTAGTTCACAATATTATATCATTTTTTTTTTTTGCTTTTCACAAATTTCATAAAATCTATTTACACTAATAAACTATATGATCACGTGAACGTGTCAGAAATAGTCACGTGAAATTTGCTCATAAATAAGTATCTTTTCACGTGAATGTGTGTTATAGCTTATTGAAAATTTTCATGTAAAATTGTTTTTTTTTTTTAATTTAAAAATTGCACTCATTTTATTGGAGTATTTTTTCATTAAAAATTATAATGAAAGAATTTGTTTACTTATTTATTTAATTGTTATTATTATTTTATTGAAATTATTATCATTATTAGCAATAGTATTATTAAGATTAATCTTATCATTATATTATTATTATTATTATTAATTATTGCTATTACTTATTAATATAAATATAGCATTTTGGAGTGTTTAATAGTGAACAAAGAATTTTTAAGTTAACTTTTAAATTTTATTATGATTATATTTTGCTGTTAAAATGCTAAAATTTATGATAATAAAATTTTTGTATGCTAAAATTTATGTGTTATTAAAATTTGATAATCAAAAACATTCAAAAAAATTTTTCATCGTTCAAAATTTATTATTTTCAATGCAGAAATTTCAAATTGGAATTCATTATTATCATATTTTTTTCACATCACTTTTGGTTTTTTTTTTTTGAACTTTAATATTTTCCTAATTTTAATTATCGAAAATAAATTATTTGCATAATTTTCAAATTGAAATGATTGATTATTGAAATTGTAAAATTCCATCTATGCAAAGGTTTGAATCGTTTTAAAAGGAATATCTCTTATCAATTTTCAATATATAATATTTATATCCTTTCATAGGATTGTGTATGTGTGTGTGTGTGTACAATGACAGGTGATAAGGGAAAGCAGGAAGGTAGTGATAAGTTGATAATTTCGCAAGTGAAACTGATAAGTGAAACAGGAAAGGTGGTGAACTGATGGTTTGCCAATATCATATTTCACCATTCATTCTAAACAATTGTGCAAAAATTGTTACAAATTACATATGTGTATGTAAAGAGAAATTTCGAATAAAATTTTTCAATCTATTTATTAAAATTAATTAAAATAATTAATTTATGCACAGAAAAAGAAAGTTTAAAATGTCAAATTAGACGTATTTTAATTTAATTTCTATCGTTGATTAAAAATCATAGGAAAATTGAAGTACAACAAAAATGTGTAATGATGAATTTGTTGTTCTTCGTTTTGAGAAGAAGAATAAGAAAGTAAACAAATGAAATGTTTGCTTCAATTTGATGTTTAATGATATAAGAAAAATGAAAACAATCATTTTGAAGGATATATGAAAGTTGCAAAAAGTTGAAATAATAATATTTGTCAATCAACAAAAAAAAATAAATAAATAAATAAAAAATGATTCAATAATAACAGAAAAATTAAAAAATGTAAATATGCAAATGAAAATGAATAAATGAGATTTATTTTAGGATTAATTAATTAAAAAATATTAATTTCTATAACATTATTATTAGTCTCTAATGATAATTGATTGTTGTTATGGAAATGGCTTCATTTAAAGGAGAAATTCAAAATACTTTTTCCAAATTTACAATTTTTTATTTTACAATTCTTCAAAAATATTTTGAAAATCATTTAGATTGGAAATAAAAAAGATTGTTCATGAATTTCTACTTCTTAATCAAATAATCTGTGCTAATTAGTTTTAAATTAAAGCTTATCTTATCATTTATTACCAATATATCGAATTAATCGATATCCAATTAACAAAAATGAATTTAAATCAATTCATAAATGTGTTTAAATATTAATTTATAAATAAAAATACTAATCAATCTATTTGCTTACCAAACATCTGTGTAAATTTACAAAAGAATTGTTGTATTCTATTTACAAATTTTTGAAAGGTCGTTTTTTTTTTTTTTTTTTTAAAAAAAAAAAAACTATATTACATTATTATTTTGTTTGATGCCATCTAATTCATTTTGATCACTTTGACAATATGGTTTTGTTTTTCTTTTTTTTCCTTCAATTTATACTATCGATTTCACATATTATTATTTTTTTATATTATTTTAACTAGTTTACATAGTGTATGCATTTTTTGAAATATAATTCATCTTCAAATCATTTCGAGAAAAAAAAAAAAAAAATTGGAGAAAAAAAAAAGATTTCTATGTGAAATAAATTCTTTATTAAATGTTAAAAATTTCATATTTCTCTGCTAATATTCAATTATAACAGATAATTGATATGCAATTGAAATAATTTTTGAATATAATATATTAGCATTTATTACAGAGAGAGAGAGAGAGAGAGAGGGAGAGAAAAAAAGGAAGGAATTAGGTCATATTCATATATACATTGCTAACATTTGACCTCAACAATTTATCTAAACGAAAATAATTTTTTTTTTTTTCTTTTCATCAAAATTGCCAATATCTTATTTCAAATATGCTTCTTACTTTGTTTCAATTCTTAATTTTGTTTCTTATTCTTACTAAAAAAAAGAAACAAAAGCGAATAGTATTTATTCCTTAATGGATCAATGTAAAATTTGTTTGATTTAATTCAATTTGTTTTGACTGACTATTTTCTTCGTCCTCTCAATTTTCATTCCATTAAAATATTTTTTTCATTTCAATTTCTAAATCATTTGGCTCTGTCTTCTTCACATGATTTCTCTTTGCTAGAAGGAAATGATAATTTCAATAATTTGATTTCGTTATCACCCACTATCATAAATTCAATCGAAAGTTAAAATATTACTATTCAAATTTTGCATATCACTCAATCACTTCAATTATTACAACACTTTGCTGATCTATCATCATCATCATCGAAACCAAAAGTAATCTAATAAGATGAAATGCTATTATCATCATTATCATCGCAAAAATCACCGCCTAAATTAGATACCACAATCACAAAAATGATTGTTATCACTATCATCTTCACTGATATATTTTATCGCAAAAGAATATATGATAAGATTTATTCATATTTGCTCTTCTCAAGCAAAATATTATTAATAAATTGCTGATTAAAATTGAAATGCTATTCAGTTAGTAGAATTTATAACTAAAAAAAAAAAAAAAACAATATTAAGAATTTGAGATAAAATTTTAATTAAATAGGGTTGCTAAAACAAAAACAAAAACAAAAAAGAAGTAAGGGAGTGAAAGAACAAAACAAACAGATAAATAAATTAAAGAAAGTTTAATGAAATTTAAAATTTCTTAGATCAAATTTTTTTAGATTCATTTGTCAGATAGTTGTTGTTATTGCTATTGTTATTGATCACAGTATATAAATTTTGAAAAGTTAGTAAAACTGTGAACTTTCAGTTATCACAATGATTTATTTGTCTTCGCAAAAAAAAAAAAAAAAAAAAGTGAACTTCAAGTTACGCAATGATTTATTGCAGATAAAAAATAGCAACAATGCTAAAATAATACACATTTAAGTTCAAAGGTTACAGCTATGTCAAATAAAAAAAGTTTATGCTTAATTTGTATTAAAATCTGTAAAATAATCATTTGAAAATTTACAAATGTTGAGAGTATATTATTATTATTATTGCAATAAATGAAATTTAAAAGAGAGATGAGATAGGGGAAGAGAAAAAAAGGAAAAAAAAAGCAAGAAAAAATGCAAATATTTAAAGATTGAAAAGAAATACAGACAAGCTACAAATTAAAGAAAAAAATGAAAGAAAGAAAGAAAAGCAATAAAAAAAAAACAATGGAAAAATAAAAAAAGGAGTGATGCAGAGAAAAGGTAAGAAAAATTGAGTAAAAAAAAAAAAGAATTAGCAAAATTCAAAAATTGAAGGATAAAAGGATGAAAAAAAGTTAGAAAAAGAAGTACGAAAGAGGAGGATAAAGGAGCAAAAGAAAAAAAAAAGAAGGAAGAACAAAAAAATTGATTCATTAAAGATTGAAAAGAATGAAGAAACAGAGGAATTTATGAAAAATAAAAAGTTAAAAAAGAATGAAGCTTTCAAAAGATATGATTAGTGTGTGTCTGTGTATGTGTATGTGTGTGTGTGTGTGTGTGTGTGTGTGTGTGTGTGTGTGTGTGTGTTGTGTGCACATACATGCACATGCATACATACACACATACATTATATAGGAATTTTTGAAATATAAATTATTTCAATTTCACAAATTTCAGTGCTTGAAGAAGAAGAAGGCGTGGCGATAGTAGTAGTAGCATTAATGTCATTGGCTGAAACGGACCGAACAATAAGGCGGAGCCAGAAAATCTTGTCTTGGAAATCGATATAAAAATGAGACAAACCATTAGGTTAGCTCATCATTTCTTCAGCAAGCAGCAATCGCAGTTGGTGACCCGCAACAGTTGCAGCGGCAGCGGCAGCGGAAGCGGCAGCACTTCACAAAGGCCTTTAGGGCCAAATTATTATTGTTTTGTTTGGGCTTAAAGGGACAAGAAAGAAGAACAAAAGAAAAGATTGTGTGGTAGACAGAGTGAATTCATTTTGTTCGCTTAAACTAACTCACAAATACAATTTTGTTCGATTTGGTTTTCTTCAAATCCATTTCGTACGAAAAGATAAATTTCTCCTCGTCCAATTTCATCCATTCATTCATTCATTCATTCATTCATTGTTCCCCTTCGGGTAAAATAATTCCCGGTTCAGTCTAACAGCACAAAAAAGAAGAAAAAAGGAAGAAACGGTTTACAATTATTCCGTTCACAAATCCGGGCAATATATTTCATCAACGTATCGGGTGCTGTTACATCATCCGTAAAGCTATTTCAATTCCCGAAGAAAGATCATCATCATCATCAACATCATCATTGTCATCATTATTTGTCCCAACTGAATCAACTATGACTGTCATTGATACAACAGCGGTTAAGACAACAAATATTTTACCAGTAACAACGTCAATTTCAACAACAACCGCTAAAACATCAGCTGACACCGAAGCCCAAATTATCAATAATGATACCAGAGATATCCCGGTATCTCGTAAATTCGGTGTTTCGGGACCGCCAACACCGATAACAACAGGAACCATCAAAACGGAAATTATGAAAGAGATCTATTGTAGTGGTTCACTTCTTGAAGCGGTCCAAAAAGCTAACATCTTTCATGATTGCAAACATTTTGTCGACATGCCACTCAAAATTGATGCTGGTTAGTTCTTTTTTATTTATTTATTTATTTTATTTTTTTATTTTTTCTATTATTCTTTCATTCTTGGCTTTTCCTTTTCGATACTGTATGCGTACGGTAAATATACGGTAAACTGAAATCCAGATTATAAAGAGTAGAAATTGATTATATTCAAGAACAATTAATTGCTAGAGTATTTTATTAATTGATTGATCGATTGATTGATTTGGTACGCATACGGTTTCAGGAAAAGAAAAGAAATTTGGTTGATTGAGTAAGAATTGCCATATATTTTTGAATAATAATTTTTATATATGCGAATTGCATATGAAATGTAATTATTTGAAATGAAAAATCATTTGTTGAGATATTGAGAAAGTTTATAAAACTCTGCATTTTTTTTAACATATTTTTTAAGTTATTTTGGATATAGTTTTGAATTTTATTTTCTATTTTATCAATACTGAAAAAGAAAAAGAAAGAAAAAATTGATTATATTCGAGAATAATTAATTACTAGTGTACTTTATTTATTAATTGATTGATTGATAATATTTTATTAGGATTACATCAGTGTATCCCTTTTTTCTTCTTTTATTGATATGCAAATATTTGTTCGGAGAGAGAGAGAGAGAGAGAGAAAAAAGAATATTGAATAGAAGGATTAGTATAAAGCATTTTATCGAAAGCATAAATAAGCATATGTAGTGTAACACATCTAGCAATCTCTTTTTTAGCATTTATTACACATTCATCTTATTGAATAATCGATTCATTTGCATAGCGCACGCGCATTTGCATGTGATATTTACGTGTTGTAGTGATTTTGTTAGCGCAATTATCAAGCATAGTTAATTGAGAATTCAAAGTTAAAGATAATTAAATTTTATTCATTTCATTATTTTCTATTCTTTTATATATAATTCTGCTTTTTCTTTTCTTTTCTTTTCAGGAATAACTCATCATCCTATATAATTGTAATACTTTTTTAATAATTTATGTTAAAATTTTGTGGTATTTTTAGTCATTTCTAACTTTACTATTTATCGAAATTTTGCAGAATCGACATTGCACGATTGGCACGAGTTAATTGAATCTGGTCAAATTGATGAAAATTCGTTGCGACACTTTGTTGAAAGTCATTTTGATGAGCCAGGTGGCGAATTAGACACATGTGAACCAAGTGATTTTGACCCAGAATATGGCAAATTTGAATCTATTAATTCACCATCATATCGGCAATGGGCTAAGGAACTTCATCGAAAATGGCCTACATTATGCCGTAAGGTAAGCATCCGTTTTGTTATCTTTTTTCAGTTTCGTATCCAGGTAAGTGACATACGAAGTTTCCGAGAATGAAGAAGATGTGAAAGTTAGATTATCAGCTGCTACATTTTGAAATCTGACTTTCAACGAAATTTGACACCTTATATTGGTGCTTTGGGTTTTTTTCCCTCGAAAGCTTGCAGTCAACTGCTTCGGTCTATAAGTTTAAAGGATAAAATTAGTTGTGGGTGGCTCCTAACGCTTCCTAATTTCTTCCTAATACTACCCAAATCCTCCCTGTAAAATAAATGGATAATTTTTTCTCCAAATTTGGAAAAAATTCTTTTTGACATCAGGATGTAATTTTTCTCCAACTTATCACCAAACGTCATTAACACTAATTACTTGTTACAGAGAAAGAGAATGATTACAACCATTAAAATATACATTTTGGGTGGAATATATAAAACCAATGCCTCTTTTCCGACTTACTAATTGAGGGGTTCAAGGATACAAGAATTTTTTTTTTTTTGTCAAAAAGGAGTTGGAGTTGAACGGACTTTAAAAAATGTGTGCGCATGGAAAGTTATACATACTAAAAAAGCCAAAAACTGATCATTTTGTTTCACTAGATTTCTTTTTTTTTTCTTTTTTGCAAAATAAAAGACGATTGGAATTTAATTTACTTTAACTTGGACTCGAATAATTTTAAAGTACTATGGACTAAACAAATGCCATTTCACCTTGCTTCATTAGAAGTTTGGTGATTATTAGTGGTATAAGTAGATCAATTTTATCTAGTAATTGTATATATCTAGGCTTGAAGAATAGTTTCGAGTAAGTCGGAGAGGGGTATCATACATTTTTAATTTTTCCTCCCCTTAGTTCCTAGTTCTATAGATTTGATTATACGGAAATTCTCCTAGAAAGTTCTGGCCTCTACCACCACATTTTGGGTCTCTTACTTCAGGGTTAAATTTTTCCCTTGATTATGCCTCCTATTATCCCTTCCAATAACTTCCTACATCCGGAATATCTAAGTTTCTCCTCCAGGTAATGCTGCTTGATTTTCATGTTTTGAATTCATCTAAACTAAGCGTGATACTTTTCCGAGCTTCAAGTAATGCAGATTAGTGATTAATGTTTTGGTTTTTATTAATTTCAAAATTTCATTCAAACGATTTCTGCTTCTGTGCATCAGTATCAGCAAGAAGTCTGTTCTGGTACTGCTAAAGTTTCAATTTACTGCAACTGCTGAAGTTTTTCACATATTTATCCTCTGAAAATTGGTATCTTTTTCTGCTTCGCAATAAGGCAAACCTTTGCGGAAATTCTGTCGAAGAAAATTCTTCCACAGAATGGGGAAAAACTTACGAATTTTTGATAGTTCGGAAAAGCATCACCGAATCGTTTCTAGGTGTAACTTTTTCACGAAGTGAATAAGAACTTTTTTTAGAAATTATGATAAATCGCAAAAAGAAAAAAAAAATTGTAGCGGAAATCTTCATGAAAGTGTTTCATCTAGAAACGAATTAGGATTTATTTTTGTTTCTTCCTTTTTTCTTTTTATTTTACAAGTAGGAATTCCGTATGTCGTACACAAGGTTTACAATTGAAATTTGATTCTCCCTGGACTCCTTGAAATATTTTAGGAATTCCTGCTGCCATCATCATCATCTACATCATTCAGAAGCCCGATATGTGTATACCGGAAACGTTTTGAATCGCTCTTCTAAATGGTACCAACGACAACATCAACAGTAGACTACATATATGTATACATATACAAACAATTACTGTTTGCGTAATCAACAGGAGATCATCACATTCCGGAGTTTTCCGGAATTCCACATCGTCAGCAGTGAGCAATGGAATGGATTGATGTGTCGTCATTGTCATCCAATGAAGACTAAAAGGATCTTAGAAATCACATAGGCATCTAGGAATTAGGCATTTGTAGTTTATTAGGGAACGCATCAAGGTTTCATCTGAATCCTAGGTTTCTCGCTAAACAGGTATTGCTCAAGGTTTGATTTTTTTTTTTTTTTTTTTTTTTGCATCAACTTATGAAACCTTGATGCTAGATAGTTATAGGGACATAATTAGGTTTTTTCTTTTTTGTATTTTTGGTTCTCTTAATTATGAAGCAGTTTCAGTAATGCTAAAATTTTTCGATTTCTCTATTACCAATACTAGTTAACAGTTTAATCTCAAACTCATTTATTCCTCAGTTTTATATGTAACTACCTAACTGAGCTTAACAGTTATGACTTAAGACTGCATTTTGACTAAAGGAGGCATATATTGCAAACGGAGGATTGTAATTGCAGTGCTGAAATTTCGTACCAAAAAATTTACATAAAAATATTTCATCAAAAAGACTGCACTTGTTGATGTTGCTATGAGAAAGTAAGTGGAAGTAATTCTAGGTAACTGCTTGATTGTTGTTTTTCTTTTAGTTTTACAATTTGTTTTCCTGATTTATTTGTAATTTCAGGTGTCCGATCGTGTTATTGCGGATCCGGAAAAATTCTCATTAATTCCGCTACCAAAACCATTCGTGGTGCCCGGTGGACGTTTCCGGGAAATGTACTACTGGGATAGTTTCTTTACCATCAAAGGTCTTTTAGCTTCAGGCATGCATGACACTGTGCGTGGAATGATCGAAAATATGGGAAGTCTCATTGAAAGGTAATTTTGTTTTGACATACTTAAAACTTAGAAGATTTCCTGTAACAAATCCGATTTCGAAACTAAAATTTTAGATTCAAAATATTTGTTTACTATATGAATTAAACATGTGTAAGTTTAAATTTGAATATAGTCTTAAATTTCCAGATTTGGTTACGTGCCCAATGGAAATCGCGTATATTATCTCAATCGATCTCAACCTCCGTTGCTTACTTGGTGTCTATCTGCATATTACGAAGCAACGGGTGATAAAAAATTCGTCTTCACTGGTGCTCGCTGGTTCGAGAGAGAATTTGAATTCTTTCAAAAACATAAGTAAGCATTGAATTCGACAGGGTAAACATTTTGCTCAACTTGGATAAACTAATTTGTATTTTGGAATGAAATTTGACTGTGATTAATGCTAAATATTGCTTGTTAAAATTTCAGATCAATTCAGCTGCCCGGTGTAACATCACTGCTATATCGCTATCATGTTGTAGCTGTTGGTCCACGTCCGGAAAGCTACCGTGAAGACGTTGAAAGTGCTCATCATATTGAGGATGTCTTAGAGAAACAACGTTTGTGGGGTGATATAGCGGCCGCAGCTGAAAGTGGACGAGATTTCAGCTCGCGTTGGTTTTCTCAAGATGGGCCTGTAGCTGGTAAAATGGGTTCCACACGGTATATTACTTTCAATTTATTTCATTAAATTTACTTTACTTCGTTTTGTTTAAAAATCTTATAGTTTTTTTTTTTTTTTTTAATTTTCAATTGATTAAATGCATTAATCAGTTCACTCTTATTAGTTTAAAGCAAAGTTACTACAAGATTTGTAAATAAAACTGCTGAATAATTTAATAGGCACGACGATTGTGTTTATTAAATTTATATGAGATATGTTTATTTTGGTTTTCAGGACCAGTTCGATCTTACCAGTCGATCTGAATGCAATCATTTGCGGAAATCTTCGTTTAATGGCTAATTTGTATGAAGTAATCGATGATATATCAAATGCTGAGCAATGTCGAGAACAGTTCAGAAGTATGAAGCAAGCAATTCATCAGGTATTCTGGAATGAGGAATACGGTTGCTGGTTCGATTATGACATCATCCATGCTTGTCATGTCAATCTCTATATGGATACCAACTTCTTTCCTTTGTTCAGTGGATGTACGCATGATGGTACGATCGTTTCAATTTGTTGAGAAAAAAAAAAAAATAATGTCAGATTTCATTAAGTGAAATATATACTAGGCACTGGTGTAGAATGCGCTGAAAATTTAATTGCAAAAATTGATATGAAAATGTTCTTTTATCGATAGTGCTTAATACATTTTTATGGAGTTTTCGAAATTATAGGAATATTAACTAAAATATATGAAAATACGCGATGCTATATATAGCTTTCAAATCTAATCAGTAATCTCGAAATTTGAAATCTCTTTTTTTTTTTTTTTTTTTTTTTTTTGCAAATACAGCAGTCTGATCTAAGTTGTACTAATTAGAAAGTTTATGGGTAAAAGAAAATAAATGTGCTAAGAATTTTGTGGAAATCTTATTTCGTTTTCAGATTTCGATGCGCAGAAGATAGTAACATATATGACGAACATGGGTGTTTTGGCATTCCCTGGTGGTTTACCAAGTTCACTTATAGCATCCGGACAACAATGGGATTTCCCGAACGCTTGGGCACCAACAACTTGGGTTGTTATTCAGGGTTTGCGTTCTACTGGTCAGCATGAACTAGCTCGTCAAATAGCCGAGAAGTGGATCAAGCGAAATTACAGCATGTGGCTTGTTTCTGGTGGACGAATGTTTGAAAAAGTTAGCATTTTTAAAATTTGTGCATGGAAAAATCATATATATATATGTATATATAAATTAAGCTTTTTGACTCTATGAGAATATGTTGAATTTTCAGTACAATGTTGCATCGCAAAACTATAATACGGCTGGAGGTGGTGGCGAATATGAAGTGCAAGAAGGGTTTGGATGGACTAATGGTGTTGTCTTAGATTTGCTTCTTACATATGGACCTGATCTGACCTTTAAGTCGGATGATGACAAGCCTATGACACCGGGAGAAGGATGCGTTTGTTGCCAGGAGCATCAGCAAATTTCTGATGGTACCACAACTACTAACACCATACTAGTACCTTCACCAGCTGATTCTGGTCTTCAGTAAATCAATAATGTGAAGTAGATGTTAAAAAAAAAATTGTAGAAATACCACCACGTCTTATATTGCATCATTTTGATATTATATCTCAAAATGTCAAATTTTCAAACAATTTCAAATGCACATCGTTTGGATTATTTAAGTCTCAAAATACGTAAAATTTTAAGAAATTTGTTACTAATTAGTTAATTGACAGTAATGGAATCAAATTTTTTAAACTTTTTTTTTTTTTTTTTTCAATACAACGCAAGTTATATGAGAAGTGAATATGTTAGTAATTAAATCATAATGGATTGTTGTTGTAGAAAAGTGTTAAATAGACTTCAAAAAAAAAAAAAAAAAAAAAAGATTTTTGAGGGAATTTGATAAATTTTCATTTGAAATCTCCCCTCTATATTTGGAATTTTTTTTTCGGATAAATATACGGGTTATATTGAAGCATATATTCATCGGTACTAATATTTTCGGGTACAACTGTTATATATGGGTTAGGTTAGTAATTTTGACATACCATATCTTTTGACATACTGACCATAACTATAATATTATAATATCAGTAATTATGCTATCTAGAAATTGAGAGGAGGGGAAATTATCATTAGAGAGATATTTTATTTAGGCTATTTTTTCTTCTTTTTTTTTGTATACATTCGGGTTATATGTTATGAACAAATATTCAATATTTGCTAAGAAATTTTAGCTGAAATATTGTTAGTTTTATGTTGTATGCCTTCCTTCCAATTATTTTTGCGTTGTTTTGAAAATATAACGTTGGTGGTAATTATGTTTCATCGACATAATACAAAAGCAACATTGCATTGAAGAAAGAGGAGAAGTATGAATAAATAAAAGATGATGATTATGATGATGATACTATAAAGAAAGTTAAAAAATAACTCTTAATTAGATTAATGTAACTTTTTGAAGTTTTTATTAATTTAACAAAATTTAACAGAAATGATTTCTTTTTAAAACGATTGAAGATTTAATCTGTATATATTTGCATATCATTAATGATCATTTTTGCTTGTTCAAACAATTTCAATATTTTTTTTTTTTTAAATTAAGTGTGAAGTCGAGTTGTTAATGATTATCGAGTATGATAGAAATACATTAGAGAGAAATTAAATCTTTTCTAAAATTATTTATTTGATGGGATTTTTAAATTTTAGATAATTGTTTTAGCGGATTTGTACTTACAAAAGATGAAATATCGAAATGAGTCAAAAATTCAAATTTAATGCTATAGCTGAAAACTGAACAAATTATATAGCAAAAACTTCCTGATAATAATTTATACAAAAAATAAATGTTTAATTTTTTCAAAATTTTGAAAAGATTAAAGTGAAAAAATTTTTTCATTTTATTTTGCAATAATAAAATTCAAAATGTTACAAAAATTTGAGAAATTTTGAGGAATTAAGAATTTGAGAATAAGATTAATTGCAAATTACATAAATTATTAATTGAATAAAATTAAGAAATAATTTAGTGATAGTATAACTAAGATAATGTACAATGATTTGTTTGATTGATCATTGGAATAATTTTTGAATGATCTTTTTGCATCAAATATATTCTAACTTTTGGTACAGGAAGAGATATATTTACTGATTTAGAATTTCAAAATTAATAATTTTTTTTTTTCTTCAAACAATTAATAAATTTGAGTACTATGATCATTATTATTATTTATTATTGTTATTATTACTATTATTATTATTATTATTATTATTATTATTATTATTATTATTATTGTCACCATTATTATTTCATTTTATTAATTTACAAATTTGATTCTAAAATTAACAATTATCTTTGTTATTTTTTATTTTATTAATTAACAAATTTAATTTTAAAATTTAGAAAAATTATTTTTTTTTCCATTTTATCAATTAATAAATTGGCCACAGCTTTCTTAATATTGCCTAATTTAGATAATTTTATGTTAATTTTTAAATTTAATTATTTCCAATTTTAATTCATTTATTATTTATGTTCCATTTGTAAGTTTTAAGTGCTTTTTTTGTTTGAAAATAATTTTATTCAATTTTTTACACTCAAATTTTGATATCTTATTTAATGCTAACGTTTCAACGTTAACAACAATTGTAAATTTAATTATTGCTTGTAAAATATGCCAATAATTCTTTTGCTGACAAAAAAAAAAAAGAAAAACAAAAACTTCTTTATTAGATTTGATTTTCATCAATTTAAAATTTAAATTTAAAAGAAAAAAAAAATTTGAATTTAGAAAATTTTTTAAGTCACAATAAAAATAACAAAATTTAAATTGAAATTTTTTTATCTTAATGCAAAATGAATTTTCTCTGATTTAATTTTATTAGCATCATTTTATGATGAATTTTTAGCACAAACAGGTCAATTCAAACGTATCAGACGTGTAACTACGTAATCGTACACGAAATCGTTACTTACCTAATTCAGATAAACCAAGGTAATATTAATTGAAAATGATTACAATATTTTAATTTAATGCAAACAAAAATTATTGTTACCTTCCCTACTAATAATGAAATTACAATATGATTTGTTGTGATATAAAAAGTATTATCTAATAATCACACACTCAAAGTTTTTTAGCTTTTTTCAACGAGGGAAAGGAGGGAAAACTCTCTCTCTCAAAAAAAAAAAATGTATCTTTTGAAATGTGAAAAAACCATAATTGTAACTTTATTGTAAACGAGAATTCTTGGTAATAGTTTTAATGAATGTAAATTTTCTTCTCGTTTTTTTCTCTTTTAATTTTAATTTTGAATGCGAACTTTCTTTTCGTTTTTTTTAGTGTTTTAAAATGATTTAAAATTAATTTTCATTTGTAATTTTCAACAATTTCATTAATTTGAGAAATCAAATTTTCATTTTAACTGTGGGTCCCGTGGTGTAGTGGTTAGCACTCAGGACTTTGAATCCTGCGACGGGAGTTCAAATCTCCCCGGGACCTTTCTCAGTCATAGTAATGACACAAATTTTGCTATTTTTATTTTATTTAATTCCCAATGGACGATGGTAATTTTAGTGAACAAATAAATGATAAGCACCATATTAAAATTTTAAAAAGATTTAAACAAATTACTGATTGGTGAATAGTTTTAAAAATTTTGCCATCATATTTTAATAAATTTTATCAGCACATTGATAATGATTTATTGAAGAAAAAGCAAAATTTTTTCTTTTGATTATTAAAATTTTTAAATCAAATTGAATTACTTTTATTTTTATTTTTTTTTTTCGTTTTTCTTTTTGACGTAAAATATAATAATGAATGACAATTTGATGAAATGTACCAAAAATATCAATGTTTATTCTGAAATATACGATAAGAAAGTTTAGAAAGTTCCTAATTAGACATCGATCAATATTGATTTCCATTGTAAATATTCAATCAAATATAATTTAATAATGATAAATTAAACATCATAGTATTGCACAATTTCAATTCTATTAAGTTAAGTTATATTAATTAAAATTAAGTTATGACATTCTTGATTTTGTGGTTTATGTTGTAATACTTATAAATTGAAATTTTTTTTATTTTCTTTTTTTTTTTGTAATATAATAAATTTGTATTGTAAATTTAGAATCAGAAAAAAAGTTTTATGCTAATTTTATTTGGTGTAATATTATAAGCGATTGTTATCAGTTAGATGATAAGAGAACTGATTATTATCTAATGATTGTTTGTCTGTGTTTTGAAATGAGATCGGTAATTTTGATAGCATAACTGTGATTTCAGTTTCATCATCTATCAATGTATTTCTTTAATTCCGTTTACTCATTGTATTATTCAATTCATTATCAATAATTAAGCTAATTAGCATTATTTGAATTATATATATTAGAATGTAATATGTGTATATGCGTGTTTTACGTCAAAATGCGTCAAATACGTACATTAAGTATTACTCAAATACGCATTATTTATCATAGAATTAATGAAATAGTGACAGGAATGCTAACGAAGAATCATATAAAATTTATTAAAATACAAAATGAACATTAAAAAAGATATTTAAATTTTTAATAATTTTAAATTTCATGAAATTTGTTAAAATATCAAATAAACATCAGTGCAAATATTGAAATTTCAATAATTTTAAATTTCTTATCATAACTGTCCTATATGTTTGATTAATTACTGATAGTTTCATTAATTATTAAATCTATTAATTATTAATAGATCAGTAATTAATAATTAAGTAATGGTTATCCAAGAAAAAAGAAAAAGAAATTATCTATGCAAATTATCTCTTCGATTTGATCTAAATCAGTAATAATAAAAGCATTATGTTCTTTATCTAATCGAATTTATCTTTTTTTTTTTTTTTTTTTTTTTGCACAATTTAGGTAATACTATTAGTAGAAACCTTTTAAAATTATGGCATAAAATTTAAATCAAAAAAAAAAAAAATTCAACAAATTTAAATTACTTTAAATTTCATTGCGCAAATTGCGCAAATTTGGTTAACTTTGGCAAAAAATGCATTAATTTTTTTTTTTTTTTTTGATTTTGCACATTATCCAATTTGTAATAAATTTAATAAATAAATAACTATAAAAGATGAAATAAATATAAACAACTTTTTTAATGATATAAATGATAAATTAATAACATTTATTAAACTATCAGTCATTGATATTAAATTAGTCAATCAATAAGTAAGCAATGAAAATTAATTAATTAATCATTAAAAATATAATTTTCATTCTATTTGATATTTCATTAAAAAAAAAAAAAAAAACACATTCATAATTATTTTGCTGAATAAATTTTATTTTATAATTATTATTTCATTGATATTATCATTGTTGTTATCATTGCTATTGCTATTGTTGTTGTTTTCAGTAAACTTTTGTAAAAGTTCAAATTAATGATTAGTGGTTGAAATTAAAAACGATTAAAAATTAATTTAAATGATATGTTTATCAATGGTATCAGTTTCTATTTTACTAATGAACTGAACTTTTAGAAAAAATTTTTCAATTTGTCACTTCTTGTCCTAATTTTATTTTATTTTATTTTTTTCACTAACATTTGAAAGCAACTCATACTAACTGTATTATTTTGTTGTTCAATGTGTCGTTACAATTTAAATCCAATGTTCTCTTTAATCCAATTCGTTCCAATTTTTTTTTTTTTTTTTTTTTGTGTCAACCTAACAGAAAACGATATGATGGTTGACAATTTCGTTGCGACATTTTAAACCATTTACTTTTGTAACAATCATTTAACTTTTTTAATAATATTTCAATTTTAATCGTTTTATTTTTATTCTTTTTTACAATATGATAACATTAATTTTTATTAATGATAATTTGAAATTAGTCAATTTTAACACTTATTTATAAATTTTTATATTAATTTATTTATAATTTTCATAAATTCAATTGTGCTCACTTTTTTTTTTTTTTTTTTTGTCTTTTTTGAAATAAAATTGAATAAGACTTTAAAAAAAAGAAAATAATATTGTTATGTGCAAAAATAATCAATAACAAAATCAAAATCAAAAAAAAAAAGAGCAAATAAAAATTTAATTCTATTTAATTGTAAAGTTTTGAGAAATAAATGAAATTATATGTACAGATGGATTAATATTTAAATTTAAATACAAATTAAATTATTCGCAAACTTTATTTATTGTTTATTTTACGCATTTTTGATGATAAATCTTGGTATTATGCATATGGATAAGCTACAGACTGATAATAAAAGATAAGAAATTTAGGTAAATGTTAAAATTTCCACAGAATTTTGATTAGAATCGCTCATTGACCCCAAATTACTGATTGCATTCTGATAAGCATTTATTCAATTCTCTCAAGAATGAATGCAATTTCTTTGAAATCTTTGAAAATTTATCCTTCCTAATTATTCATATTGATTATTGTTGTTATTTTTATCACTGTTAATGATAATTTATCAACAAAATTTATGATTAATTATTTATTTTCAATCATTAAGAAATAATTAAAATTCTAATATTAGCATTTTTTTTTTTTTTTTTAAATCGTACTCACATTGATATGTTAATAAGCTTTCTTTTCTCCTTTTTTATTTTAAAATAAAATTTAAAGAATATAAAAAATTTTTATTATAATTTAATTATAAAATAATTATACCAAAAATCGTTTTCTTTTTTCTTTTTTTTTTTTTTTTTTTTTTCTGGTTAAATATAAAAATTAAAAAATTTTTAGAAATATGGGCACAATAAGCGCAATGATTATTATCTGTTGTTTAATTATTTCTGCTGCATTAACTGTAGTTATTATTTTGGTAACAATACCAACTGAAATTACCTATGAATCGCATTACCCAAAAGCTTGGGTTAATCGTGAAAATACTCATTCTAATACCGCTGTAACTAACAATTTTAATTTTCATCCGAATAAAAAAATTTTATCAAATTTAAAAAATGATACGTTATCAGTAATTATAACTACTACTGATACTATTACTACAACAACTACGACTACTACTATTATTACAACAATTACTAATGCTACTGATTTTATTATCATTCCTAATACAGCTAAAATATTAAAGGTTAAATTAGAAAATGATAAACATTCTTATCAATCATTTTTATCATCAACAATAATACCAATGAAAAATTGGAAATGGAATAAGAAGCAATCATCACAGAGACGTACCACAGTAAATTTAAGCACTAATATTATAATAGGAAATGATAAAAACACAACAATAAATAATCATAAATCATCGATCAAATCAACAACAAATCAATTAGCTTCAAAAAATTCGCGACAAAATTTAGCAACGCTAATGTTACATAATCATATTGAACAGTTATCACTAAATGATAACAAATTAGCAAGAAGTAAACAAGATAAGATGAATGTGACACAAATGACATTACTACGTGAAATAACATTTTCAAATGATGTTAAAGTGGTTGGATTGACGATGCAACGTACACTTCTTTATGTTGCTACCAGCGATGGTCAAATTATGATGATAAATCCGGAAACTAGCAGACAGGTATGATATGATAATGATATGATATGATGATGATATGTCGTGACATGATGTGGTAATGATAATGATATGATAGCTATGTGCATAACTCTGATATGATATGATGATTATAATATGGCATGATAGTGATGTGTTATGATGTGGTAATGATAATGATACGATATGAAATGATACTGATATGATAAGCTATCATATGGGAGTGATATGATAATTATATGATATGATAATGGTATGATGTGATAATGATATGGTATTGTAATGATACGACATGATAGGATAGCGATATGATATGATATAAGATTAGTATTATCAGCCTTTTTTTTTCCTTTTTTTCATTCCTATTTAAATTGAAAAATTTTGCTAATTGTGAAAGAGTATTTAATATGATATGATAACATTGATATGTGAGAAATTTTTTGAAATGTTTGCAAAATGTTAAAAATTTCAAATATATTAAAAAAGTAAAAATATTTGTAGAAATTATAATAAAAGAAAAAATATTTCATATAATATTGTATGAATAGATATGTAGTAATATTTTTAAGTAATGCCTATTTTAAGGTAATATTTTTAGGTAATGCTTATTTTTAGGTAATATTTTTCTATCAGAAAACGTATGATATTATCAGTTTAATATACTATTTTTATACAGAAATGATAAACAAATAAATTAAACAAATGAAATTTAATTAATTAAGGATAAAATAAAGTTAGAAATTTACTAAATTAAATGATTTAAGCTAATGATTTCAATTAGATATTAAAGTGCGAAATAATGTTAGACAATTGTTAGAAAGTCGAAAACTTTTTTTTTTTTTTATTGCTTTGATTGCCATTTTTAATTTATTTAAACTTTTTTCTTTTGCTTTTTCAAATACTACAAACAAGTCAATTTAATATCTTAACTTATAAGTTTATTTATTTAACATTGTAAAGAAATTTTGAAATGTATTTGCATTAAATTATTTGAGAGAAAAAAAAAAACAAAAAATAAAACTAAAATTTGTTTCGATATTTTTATTAAATTTCTACTTTTTAATTTTATTTTTTTATTTATTTTTCAATGAGTTTAATTTTGGACGATTTAATAATCATAGTAATATATTAAATATACATTTTATTTCAATTAACCAAATGGTTGAAAAAAAAAATTTATTATATTATTAGAAACAATGAATTAGTCATTTAAAATTTCGAATTTTTATTTTAAAGCAATTAAAATTTAACCTAGAAATTAAATGATAAAATTTTTATAGTTGTAAATTTGAATTTTTTTTAAATTTTATAATATAATTTATTGTGTATAATATAATTTAAAAATTTTTATAATTATAACTTATTGTCAAAATTTTTCTTTAACGTTAATAATTTTAATTTATTCCAAAAGTTCGATAGGAAATTGTTGCTACAAAAGTAGCAGTAGCAATATTTTAAATTATTATTATCTATTAGAGAATGCAAAAATTTAAGTAAATTTTGATTTTTAAATAAAATTAAAAAAAAAAAAAAAAAAAAAAAAAACGAAAAATTACAAAATTGTTTTTTTTTTTTTCAGGTAGGAATTATCAATGTTAATGGTAAAATAAATCGAATGACAGTGACACATAATACTGATATTATTATCTTAAATGGTACCTATTTAATATCATTTCGAAATGGGCAAAAATACAGGCAAATGAAATTACCTATACCGGGTAAAAGTTTATCAACATTTGAAGATGAGGTAATTTCATTTTTAATTACTTTTAACATAAATTTTATTTAATTAACAAATTTAAATAAACAATATAGCAAAATTAAAATCATATTTTGATAAGTTAACATTCAAAAAAAAAAAAAAAAAAAGGAAATTTAAATCGCACATTTTTGTTTTTATTAAACAAATAATAAAATGAATAATAAATTAACTGCACCAAAAATTCTTTTTTTTTTTAAAAAACTATGTTTAATGAAAAATTTACATTTCAATGAAATGTAAAAAATTCCAATTAAAAATTTTAATGCAAAATATTTCTAAAAAAATAAACAAAGCTTTCAAAAAAAAAAAAAGAAATAAAAAAGTGAAATTGACAGTGTTAAAATTCATTTCTTAAATAAATGAATGAATAAGAAAGTTTGAAAAAAGTTAAAGTATAAAAAAATAAAAATAAAAAATAAGTGACAATTTAGAAAGTAAGCTGAAGAAGAAGGATAATAATGCTATAACACTTAAAATATACTTTATTTGACTAAATTTTAATAAGCATCTAAAAATTATTTAATTTAATTGAATTAAATTTTGTTTATTGTTTTGAAAATATTTTAAGCATTTTGCAATAAAAAATTTTTTAATTGCTTTTTTATTTTATTTATTTTAATCAATTTAAAAGAAAAAAAAATCAATGCTAAGGTCAATTGAACATTTATTTCAATTTGTTCTTATTTTTTTTTTTAAACAACAACTTAGCTTAAAACAGAAAACAGTGCTTTAGCAATTTAAAAATTTTAATTTTTAATAATTAAAAAATAACTTATAGAGCGGCTCAGAACGGATAATTGCGCTTGGCCGAAGTAACGATGTATTATTTGTTTTTACGAATGATTTAAAACCATTCGAGGAGATCTATTACAAAAATGATGCCAAAGAGACATGTAATTTTGCTATTTGGTATCAAAATTACTATTATATAAGTTGTCAAAGTGCTATTTTACAACTTTCTGAGGTTAATTTATTCAAATTTTTTTTTTTTTTTTTAAAAGATTAATTTAATTTTGATAAATGTAACTTGAAAATATTTCTAGTATTATCGTAATTTTACAAGAAAAAAAAAAATTTTAAAAAAAAAAAAAAAAAAAAAAAACTTCCTCTTTTTTTGCTTTATTTATTTCCATTGTAATTTATAATATTAAAAAAAATAAATTTTTTTTTAGTTTCAAAAAATTCAATTTTTCAAATTTTTTTTTTCTGAAAAATTTTAAAATATTATGACTGATTTCAGTGCAATTTATATGACTAAAAGTAATTTAATCAATAAATTATTTTACAATTTCAGTTTTTTTGCTTCTATTCTCAAAATTTAATTCTTTTCAAATTTAAATTAGTATCATTTTATTTTTAATATTATAAAATTTATTCTAATAATTAATTTTGTTTTTTTCTTTTTTTTTTTTTGTTTTTATTTAGGATGGTGAAATTGTGGAAAAAATTAGCGCTAATAATGGAACATTTTCGCTTGGTATAACATTTGATGATAAATCTCGAATAATTGCAATTGTTAGAGGACAACCACTTCTTCAAGTTTTTCAAGTTTGAATTTTTGTTTATAATAATTCAGTTTATAATATTTAAAATGAAAAAAAAATTTTTTTAAATTTAAATTTCAAAATGAAATTTAAATATAAATTATAATTTTTAATAAACTATTTTTTTTTTAAATGCATATAAAAACATGTATAATTATTAATTTTTTTTTTTTTGTTATCATGCAATGCTAATTATTACTTTTATTTAAAAGAAATTAATTTACTAATATAATTAAAATTTAATTATTTATTTTTTATTTTTTTATTAGAATGGTCAATTACGACATAATCTATCGGCGATATCAACCGATGAAATATTGACAATTTGGTCGGAAATTCTTTATGAAAATGGTCGATTGCATATTGTGGATTATCTGGCAAGTAAACTGAAGACTTTTCGCTATCCAATTGATAGCACTGAAAATTGATGGATAATATTCATTCTGGAAGGTCAAAGGTCAACCTGATAGGGTCATCAAATTAGCATATCATTCATTCTCTTCGTGCATTTCTAAATGCAATATTATCATAAAGGTGCAAGTAATATTATCTTCTTTAAACTATAATTAATTGTTTAGCAAATATATATGTGTCAGTTGATGAATTTATCTGAAAAAAATTCAAACACAAATTTTAATAAATAATTTGAAAAGAAAAGAAAAAAAAAAACGCAAATTAAAATGAAGAATTTAACTGTAATTAAGCAAAAATTCATGAGAAAGCTAATTATCAGTAATATATGAAAGTTAATAAATTGAAAATTTTAAAAAATATTCTCATGAATTTTTCAATAAATAACAAGCATTTAGATAAAATTTTATTCATCTGAATTTACAATTTAATAAATTTATTTTAAAATAATAAATTTGTTTTTTATTTAGATTTTTCATTTTTGCATTTCTTTTTCTAATTTCTCTTTAGTCTAATAAATTCCGCAATTTTTTTTTTTGTTTTAATGGATAAATTATTTTTAATTTTGAAAATGTTTTTTTGTCATTTTAAAAAAAATTTTTTTCAAATATTCTTTTTTTCATATTTAATTTAAATTATGGGTTAAGTAATTTTTTTTAAAAAAAAATATACCATTTTTTTTTTTTTTATTATTATAGCAATTATAAACGCTATGCAACAAGTATTAATTAAAATTTTTACAAAAATTTAACAAAATTTATTTTTCGACTAGAAATATTTTTCATTTTAATGTTTTATTTAAAAAAAAAAAAAATTATTTTCCAATTAAATATTTGTTAATTATATTAATTATCTCATTCTCTCTCTAATAAGATTATTTGTAATTCTATTTATAAAATCTTTTTATTCAATTTGAAAAGCTTTTTTTTTTTCAGTCATTCTAATGTTAGAAAACTAAAAATTTTTATTTTCATTTTTGAGTTATTAATTACTTTTATGCAATTCTTTAAAAGTCATTCATATTTCACAAATAATTTGATTAAATTTAATAATAATTTTGTAAAAAAAAAAAAAAATTTATAAATAAGAAAAATTTTTTTGAAAAAGAAAAATTGAAATTTTTGATAGGAATTTAAAGAAAAAAAATAGCAAAAAAAAAAAAACAGTTTTTTCTTTTTCTTTTTTAAATGATATTAATTCAAAGGAAATATGTTTTTTTTTTTTTTTCAAATTTCTAACAAATAATTTCAAAATTTTTTAAAATAATTTCAAAATATTAATGTCATCAACAAATTTATCGCTTTTTTTTTCACTTTCATTTTTTGCTTCAATGCTTATCAAAATGAAATAAGTTAAGCTTAAAAGATAAGATAATAAAGTTATATGTTTTTCTTTTTTCTTAATTATGATCAATTAATTGAGATTTGGTTAACCTCTCTCTCTCTCTCTCTCTCTCCCTCTCCCTTTCTTTCCCTCTCTCTTCCTCTCTCTCTCTCAGCTGCAACTTTATAGCTACTGCTAAGTAATATGTAAATAAATACTTTATGGTAGTTTTATGTTTAACTTTAATCTAAGCAAATATTAGAAGCTTTGACTTAATCAACATACTATTATCGTGTTTTTTTCTTTACCTGACAAAAATACTCCAACAATTAGGAATAGAAAAAGGAAAGAATGAAATTAAGGAGAGAGAGAGAGGGATAGGGAGGGAGAGAGAGAGAGGATAATCCGGAAATGATCCGTTAGGAAAATATGAAAATCTGTTCCAAATAAGCTAAAAACTTTTGCGCTTTTTACCGATTCATTACAACATTAACGTTAATATCATATTAACAATTCAGTCTTTTTCCTTTTTTCCTTTTTTTTTTTTATGTTCATTTTCGGTTTTTTGTTTGATTTAAATCTATTTGATTTCTTCTTCTTTATGCTAAATTTACGCAACAAAAAAAAAAAAATCTACCACTTTGATCATTGTTTATCTATTAACCGGACTGATCAATCCGGTAAATAAAGCAAAAAATTTATTTGCTCATTATTACTATTATCATATTCTCTTCTTGTTCACATTTAATAAATAACAAATGTTTTTTTTTTTTTGTTATAATAATTAAATATATGTCTTAATATATGTCTCTAAATTTGATTTACTAATATTTGTTTATTGTTATGTTTAATAAAAAAAAAAAAAAACTGATATTTGTTTATTGTTATGTTTAACTAAATAAAATTAAAAAAAAAAAAAAATATTTGTTTTTACACAGTTTTTCTTTTTTCTTTATTCTTAAAAACTATTGAAAAAAAATTATTTTATTTTGATAGTGCAAAACATAAGTTTCTTTTTTTTTTTTCGATATGAGAAGTTTGGAATTTGTTTATTGAATTAATTAATTTTTACAAAAGTTAAAAAAAAAAAAAAAAACTTTCCAATTATTCCTAAAACTTAAAAATTTCACTTTCCATTAGAAAATTTGTTGATGTTACTGAAGCAAAATTTATTTTACCGGGAAATTTGAGCGTAGATTCTGCACTTATTTGTTTTTTTGAAGACAACAATGGTGATATTTTATTGTTTCATAAAGCGACAATACCGGAATTCTCTTTGAGATTTTACGAGACAATTGCAGGTATGTCACGCGGTTGTCGATTTAGTTAATTTAAGATTGTGAGGAAGTAAGGATGGAAATGATAAAGTAAATTCTAAACTTTCAAGCATTGAAGTTTCACGTTTTTTTACGTTGGTAAATCAGGAACGTGGAAATTAGGTGCTTATGTTCATGTTGTAAGTCAAAATGAACGTATGATATTTTTCAAATATTTCAGAATTTCAAGTGGTCAGTAAAAAATGGGAATAAAAGCAATCTTTAAAAATTCCTATTTCACTTAAGAATTCCAGCATTTATACACCTAACGGTGTAACTATAACACTACCGAAATAGATTTCACAATGCCTATTCAATTTTTATATTTATATATTCTTTTTTTCTTGCATTATATCGGTAATGCAATGTTGCTATCAAATTATGTTGACGTCGAATTGCAAAAAATGAGTAATTAGTTACTAATAGAATTACGAGAAAATATAGTTTATGTACACATGTTGTGCTAATTTATAGGTAATGAAGGAACATGAAGTATCACCAGAAGTTATCAATGAACTGATACAATTTCTTTCGCCGAATATAGATCGTAATTTGCGACAGCAAGCGTTGGACTATGTTATTGGTCTTTCGGCATCTGATCACTTTGATGTGATATTTCAGGTTTAATGTTTTCTTTTTTGTAGGGAAGGATTTCTCTTGTTAGTGATTTACAACAGACAGACATAGTTCTGTAAAGCATTGGCTGAACTGAAATAAATGGTAGCAGTATTATGAATCTTCTTTGGATACTGGATATACCTGATTACGATTTCGATAAGATGCAGTATTAAGTAGATTTTATGTACCTGGATTTTCCAGGTGCATGAAGTTTGCCGATTGATTCCACTATTATTATTTCAGAATTTACTAATTGATTACATTATTTATTACATTATTTAACTGTTGTCAGTTTTCTGTTTTCCTAAAAATTCTCGTAAAATATCAGTTTAGTTTTTCTGACGAATAAGTTAATCGGATTTGATTATATTTATTAATGAACTCATAGCATGATTGCATATTTAAATAGAATAGTGGTATATATATATCAATACAGTGAATATTATATTCAGTGAGGTAATTGCGGTTGTTGGCGGAATAGCCGTTATTATTAGGACTTGATTTTGTAATCATTAGTGAGATCATATCTAACAAAGTTCATGTATCTTATCCAAATACTGACCTTCCGTTCAGAAAATAAAAGAATGTTCCTATGCAAAGATTTAAAGTTGGCATAATTTTATCGTGATTTTTTCTTTTTTTTTGTAGGCAAATGATTTCTTGTTAGGACGGTCATTGTGTCGATTAATCTGCGAAGGCCACATAGATGACACTGATGTACTTCCTGCAATAATTAATGCAACTGCTACCGAGATAGTTTGTGCTAAATATGTAACTGATAACACCGAACTTGTCCAGCGATGTATTGAATATTGTCGAGATTGCAATGATCAATATTCATTGAATGCAGCAAAATTGTTAACCAATTTATCGTTACATTTTCCAGACAACGTTTGTTTTTTCTTTTTCTCTTGTTATACTTAATAACGTTATAGTTAATAACGTGTTATACGTCGTGGTTTTACTTATATTGACATATTGCATAATATATTAGACTGATATATATTAGATTGACATATATACATATAGTTTTAAGCAAGGTTTATTCTTAGTTCTTTGTTTTCTAAAGATGAAGTGATTCGGATATAAATGTGACATTTTACCAACTGAGAAATTAACATTTAGCATATCGCGTTTGTTTCAAGAATTAGTTATGTGAAAGACAAATTTTATTTTTGAATAAAATGACTTAAATTTGTAAAGTCGTGTTTTGTCCGAATTGATTTCATTATTTTCGGAAATAAATGTTGTCATTCTCATCTGGAAAAAAAATGAAGAGATAAAGTTTTAAATGAAAAACAAACTTTTTGGAATATATAAGTGCACTTGTCCCTTTTTCTCTCTTTTCTTTGGCAGCAAATGATTTCGAAATGCTGTCGAATACTTTAGCGGTCCTTCCAGGATACAGTTGAACAGTTTAATTTGATTGTTGCATTGGTAGAAGTCGTTGTTTGATAAGTTGAAAAAATTTCAGTCACTTATATCGTTTTTGAATTGGTTTCCGTAATATAATTTCTTGACATTTCAGTTGTACGATGCTTTGATAAAAGATTGGGATGATTTTATTTCTGATACAATAAGTAAGTTACTTTCGAGTTCTTTTTCAATAAAAACTGCAACGAATAATTCTAACTGAGGCTAATTCGCAAATATGATTAATGCAAATGAAAAAATACGTAAATTGTATTAGCGAGGAATTTATAAAGATTTATAATTTGTGAAAAATTAAATTCTTTGTCAGTCTTTTTTTGATTATCCTATGCTTGTTTTTTAATTATGCACTAAATGATTGCAGGAAGATTAAATGATTCAACGTCCTGCGAGGCTGCTGATTATCTTGGTTACGTGCTTGTAAACTTTACTTCAATTGCAAATGTCCGCTGTTTATTATGTGAGAAGTATGTTCGACAAATATTACCACTGGTGGATTGGAATAAGAGACCAAGAAGGTGTTTAATTGCGACTGATATTTTACGGAATATGTGTTTTGAAATCAGTAAGTTGCAGAATTTTTTTTTTTAGTGTTGCTTTTGAATACATAAATTCACTGGAAAAAGGGTTATGTTGTGGGATATAAGATTTGCGATACTTTCATCGATTTGATAGATTCTTTTTTTTTTTTTTTTTGCTGCATGTTCACCATGTTTCTGCTGAAAATGAAGAGAAAATTTCTCAGTTCTATAAGTAGAATGTTACCATTCTATATGTAAATTCAAATTTTGGTGGAAAATAATAGTTTCTCGGGTAGAGTAGAATTAGTGTTTGTTGCAGAATATGTCTATGTCTTTACTTTTCATTTCTAGTCTTTTAAAAAAGTTTGATGAGATTTTCCCCCGCTTTCTTTCAAATGAAGAAATATGCGTAAGTTAAATAGCGGTGTCTGTAAAGGCTGATAAGGTTGTCGTACTAGGTTATCAGTAAGGAGCGGTACATTGAAGCGTTTTGCTTACACGGCAAGCATAGAAAACATCAAACAGGCTACCGCCAAGGAGCACCTAAGCCGATTATATTATTTGGAATATTCATATTTCGCTGATAACATCTATCATCACACTTCAACACTTTTTGTTTGTTCACTGTCAAAGTGAAGAATTTTTTGCATTATTTGCTTTCTCATTAAATGAGAAAATTTTTTCTGGACTGCATATACATTACTAAAATTTGAATTTCCTCTCGATTCGGTATAATTATATCGAATAGAGAGGAAATGAAATAAGAGAAATTTTTTGAATTGAAATTCTTTAATATTAGAATAAACGTCTAAGTTAATATTTCACTGCTTAAAGTTTAAAAGTATTTTCGATAGAAGACAAAAAAGCTCTACATATATGTATTATTAAACTAGTGATATCAACAAAAAGTTAATATCTATTCTGCCGTTAGCAAGTGATAAAGCTTAATCTCTTTTTTATTAACATTATTGCTACCTTTAACAGTTTATGTTATCATTTCCCTCTTTGAAAAGATTGGTAACATTTTATTGCACAATACATACTCGTAGACTGTTAATATTTGATTTTTTTTAATATGTAGTAGAAACAGTTGTACAGTTATATATTTTATTCCGTGTAGTTTAATGGCATTTTTTAAATTAATGGCAAAATAAAAGTGGCATAGATGTGACGCTTTTTTTCTGTTTGAATTCATTCCGACCTAATAGCTGATAAGATATCATTCAGATGAAAACGTTAAGTCGTAATATATCGTACAAAGATTATTATAGTAAAGGAGGGAGAAATATTATTTTTAGCTTTATTTAACAAAAAAAAGTAACAGTAAAAGATAAAAGTGAACGAGAGAGAGAGAGAGAGAGTTGATGAAAAATGAAGAAAAAGTGTGAGACGGTGTATAGTTTCTTATCATTTGTACTGGTAAATACTGACATACAAAAAAAGGAGTAAATGAATGAAAGAGCTTAATGAGGGATTATAAATGGCTTGGAATGCGCTAAATATAAATATCACAGTAGTGTTCTGAAGGGAGATGGAAGTTGATTTTACTTTTATTTGCAAACGGATTATCTTGCAGAATATTTGAATGAAACCTGATTCAATCCGATCAGTACACTTGATCTTTATTTAATGAAGTGTTTATGATGATCCTATCATGCATTCCTTGTCATGAACATGCTCAAATTTCTGTAATGATTTAATAGTTATCATATATATTTGGAACATTAACATACAGCAAATAAATTAGCTCTGGATTTGAAGTAAATATTTGTTGTTGATAGTTTGTGAAGTAGAAACGGATATTATAGAAGAGAATCTATTTTTGAATTTAGTATTTTACTTGCTATTACCAATTTCAAGTAGTTTGCAAATTCTTTTATCACTTCAATGGTTAAGAATTGACGGACAGAAACGATGATTTACACGTGTAGTAACGACTGATAACCTATATAATTTAAGCAGGTAGGTTAATGAGTGAATGTGAAAAAGAATGAATATGATTCAAATCTAAATAAATAACCAAGGAATAAATTTAATTTAAATTTTAATACATAATTTTTCGTTACATCACTATTTGAGTTAGATAGCTAATATTGAATTAAAAACTTCAATGCAACTGTTACATGGAAGATTTTGGTGATGAAATCCTTACACAGAAGGTCTTAGAATTCACTAGACAAAAATTTTTTTGGAAAGTGAAATTTAGGAATGAAGCCTCAAAGATGCTTCTAGAAAATTTCGACGATGGTAATAAAAAGGCAAACATACTAATATTATTTCCTTTCAAAAATTTTCAAATAACCATCGAATTTCATTGTAACAGATCGATTAAATTTTCTATCAGAAATGGATTTTGAACTTTTCTGCGTAAAGTGTGAATGTTCTACATTCCCATTTCAGTAATGAAACATGGATGAAATTAGTTTTTTAAATTTAAATACAATGAATCAACAATCTTGGAAGTGATGGGATACCGTTAAATCTTTTTTTCCTTTTTTTTTTTTTTTTTTTTTTTAAGAGAAAAAGATATAAAACAAATTTCACATTCATTTTTTATCTGTGCATATATACCCAATTTTTATAAGCCATCTCTTTGTAGATATCAGTATTATTAGTATGTTCTTATATTTCAATCTTTCAGTGAGTCATTTCTTAAAATAATCTTATGCAGAATTGACAGCATTTTGCGTTCAATGACTAGGTTTAATTCAAACAGAAACATTTTGTGAGAATGTTAACTGGCATAGTAATTAGTTATTTATTTAGGATTTTTTGTATTCCTACTGATCAACCAAAACAGACTCTGAGATGCTAATATGAATCACTGCTATTGCTTTAGAACCTTAGATATGAAGAATTCTCTTTTTGGATTATCTATAACTGCTTAATTTCCATATGTATTACTTTACAATAATATGCTAAAAATCTTGCTGGGTCACCATTTCGCATAGTAATTAGTTATTTTACTTTAAGTAAATAAAAAGAAGTTCGTGATTGATTTTATATTTGATGTAATCTGAGATGCAGTCAAGGGATTTTTATATCCAGCAATCATTTATTTAAGAAATCATTCAAATTTTTTGTTATTAAGTGAGCATTTTTGGCTAACTTGTCAAATACCATTATTTACTGCTTATTCATTCACTTTCTCATCAAGTACTGTCCTCATTCCACTTAGAATTACGACAACGACTAATTGCTTCATTAGCATTAACACACAAATGTAATTTGATTACTACAATATAATTTGCTACTTCTTTCGTTTCTAAGTGTTTTGTTGGTTACGTAAATATGTACTGTAGCACAAATAATTTTGTTATATATCCTTCGAATATAATGTTTATCAGTCACATTTTTCTTTTACTGTCACTACTAAATATCATTGATATAATTAGTGATTTAATTCTACTGATCATTCAAAAAATCAATTAAAATATAATAATGCATTTTTGGTTAACTTTTAACCATAGACAAGTATTGAATTATTAGATTATATCATTGAAACTATTCATTATCTTATCTATAGTTGGTGCAAAAAAATAGTGAAGAAATTTATTGTTAACTTAATTAGTGTTGTAAGATGGTAATATTACAATTGTGGTGCTTATTTAGGTAGCTTGAATAATATTATTAAAATCATGCAGTATGTTTTATTTGACAATCTTTTGCTTCTATTCACAAAATAAAGTTATCGTAGTTTGAACATAAATCGTTGATTACTCTTCTTTCTGAACGTCTAAATATTTATTCTTTTGATTTGGTGAGGAAAAAGCTTAATGGTGATATCATGCTTGGTTACTCAAATACAATTGATATATGGCCGAAGTGAAAAGTTGCTTTTCTTCTTTTCTTTTTTTTTGTTTTGTTACTTGCATAAGAATTGAGAAATGGATTGTTACTTTTCTAGAAAGGACCTGTTTTCTTTTTTTCTTCCTTCTTTTTTTTTTTTTTTTTTTGTTTTGTTTTCACCTTTCAAATCATTTGGCACAACTGATAAATTGATGGTTATATTTAATAGGGAAAGTGTTAAGATGGAGAAAACAAAGAGGTATTTGCTTGAAATACGGTACTACTATCAAAAGTAAAAGTAGCATTATGAAAAATTGACAAGCTAATGGAACTAGCCTATTTTTGTCTATTTTTGCAAAAATAATGTAAACATATGGGCTCAAATTATTTATTGTATATTTATTTACATATAAGAAAGAATAAATCTATGTATAATATGATATTAAATGTAAGAAATTAGTCACATCAATAACGGTATGAAGATTAGTTGAAAGATAAAGAATGATTTGTTTGCTAGTTAATTATTATTTGCCATTGTCTTTGTTGCAAAATAATGTAAGCATATGGGCTCAGACTATTAAATTTACGTTTTAATGAACGTTATTATTATTATTTTTATTAAATATTATTATTCTTGATTACATTATTGTTGCTATTACTATTTATTGTAGTTAGTAATAGTTATTCTTTAGTAAACTTGCAGGGTCGAATTTTTAAAAATGATAGGCCAATAGAATTAAAGCACAGAAGAGGGGATTAAAGTCTTTTGTTTATATCATTATTGACTAAATGGAAATTTGCTCTTTGTAATTGTGTTAAAATAATATTTGATTTTTGGTCTATTAGATAATTTAGCAAATTTATTGATACTATAACACTTATTAAAATATTCTTGCAAGGTATTTGATAATACAAGAACTGTTAGGAATGTATCTCCATATATGAAAGTGGGTATAATTATTGAAATTTAAAAATCAAATCCTCATTTGTAGTACCGTACTTAAGTTGATTTTTTGTTTATTTTTCAAACTCACAAAGTTAAGAACTTAATTTACCTTAATTTATGGACAGAATATTTAAGTTTATTGAGTAGTGTTGATATGTTGATGCTCTAATCATCATATTTTCACTTCCGTCACATATAATTATATCCAGTTCAACACTTGGAATAAATGCATTGTTGGCGATTCTTCAATTATTGAAATAAGCCATCTTAATAATTGAAGGCAGTTTACTTACACACTTACTAATTTATTAAATTGAATAATAGCATATATATATTTCAATGGTGACAATTTTTAAATTTTGCTTGATGACATAACGTAGACTTGATTTTTTCCTTTATTAATTCATCTCCATGATTATAATACTTTCAGAAATTCAGTTTCATGATACCAATGATATTATGGTACGAATGATAGCAGTAACGATAGCGATATTAATAATGATAACAATAATAGACCACAATATAGCAGAACATTAATTGCTTATAAATATGTCATTCTCAATTTTGCTTATTTATTTCGAATATTTCAAAATTATAATTATAATGCAACAGTCATTTATCTATCATCATCCCTCTTGAAATGCAGCTTTAGCATTATTTTCTTTATTATCAGATTTCTAGGTTTTATGTCACTGATCATTTTCCATTTATGTTATCATTGATAACGCTCATTAAAGAATGCACGAAACTGTGTAGAGTTGGCATTACCATATTTGGCAATGTTATATTAGCATAAATGTTCCAAATTAGCCTTAAATTTATCACGGAATAAAAACTTTGCTTTTTTTTTTTTGTTTATTTATCTAGCATAAAATTTCATTCTTCTATAAATTAAGGAAAAAAAAATCTTTTTTCAGTCTGAAAACGATTAGCTTTGGTTGTTTTCTTTTTTCACTATTTGTTTTAAATTTTGAATAAGGAGTAAATTATATATTTTTCAGGTTGCCATTCGATACTTCTGGATAAAAATGATGAATTTTTGAGCACACTGTTGAAACCGTTAGCTGACATAAATGATAATTTGAAGGATGATGAGATTGAAAAGTTACCACTTCAATTGCAATACTATGAAGGTCACCGGTGTCAAGATTTTTCAATCACAACTAAAGTTGTCGAAGCACTCTATCAGGTGAGTATATTTCTATAAAACAATTACAATAAATTACAGATAGTTTATAATAATATAGTAGAAAAAAAACTAGTGCAATAATGCATCAGTTTTTCCGATATAATTCTTTACATCTTAATTTGGAATGGTTTTGTTTTATTATCTGTAAAATAGCTTGTATTGGTAATATTAATATTTAAACTAAAAATTAGCAAGCAGGTAATATTAAGCCATGAAATGGTTTTAATTATTAAACTGGAACCAATAATGGTAATAATATTAGCATGTAACATATAAAATTTAATTCATGTTTAAGTTGAAGTTAATAATTTGTTCTTTACTATTATTACGTTTGCTATTACAAATAAGATGCGTGTATTAAGTGTACTTTTGCTCTCAGTAATAATATAGCTAACTCATCGAAGTGTTATTTTCGAACATTTAGAAATCATATTGTCATTTATTTCAATAGTTTTGGTGTTATTTTTCTTGTTGGAAATTGAGTATTATTTACCATCAGTTTATATTCATTTTAAAGCATTTGACCAAAACAACTTTATGTTAGAAAGATGTCGAAATGTTGTAGCATTATAATAAAGAAGGGAAGATCAGCCATATTTGTGAATATCATTGATCATCATCTATATTTTTTATTGAGATTCACTTCTTGTTCTTTTGTATTTTTTCCAAATGGAATGATTCATTTTTAGAAAAACCTGTGAAGAAAAATTATCGCATATTTTGTAAATAAACTTCCAAAAAGCAGATATTAATTCATCTTTTTATCAGTTGTTTTTCTTTTCTTTTCTTTTTTTTCTGTTTTTTGATCATATATATTAGACCTAGATTTTGATTATACACTTTATTTAATTGATTAAAGATTGGATTTTGTATCTCTCTTTGTGGAATAATTTTTTACTTCGATACTTTCTTATTTCTTAGGTATTACTTATGAATTTACGACTAACTTTTCATATTACCATATAACATCAGTTCACAAATTGAATAAAATGATACTTAACATTGGTTAACATTATTATTATTATTATTATTATTATTATTATTATTATTATTATTATTACTTAACATTATTATTTTAACATTGGTTCTTATCTGACAATGTTTTTTTTTTTCTTCCCAAATCATTTTCATAATGGCGAATTGTCTTCCATTAAAATATCAGGGAGAGAAAAGAAGTGTACTGTAGGATAAATAGTTGTTAGGATATCAGACAATTTTTCATAGGATTTGATTTAAATTAAGAATTTAGACGTTTGCTTAAAAATTTAATATTTTAACACTGAATAAAGCTATCGTTAAGAATGGAAAAACTGAAGGAGGAAAGAGAGAGGGAAAGAGAGAGAGAGAGGTCCATTCGTTCATATGTCTTGTTTTGTTTGTATTGAAGATTTACTAGATTATTGTCAGGAAGCATATCTACTTCAGTAAGATAATGGTGTTATAATGGAGATGTGAGAGGAGAAAAGGAGAGAAGCACTTGAGCTCGAGCTGATAGCATTTACTCAAATTTCATCTGCAACCTGACAGTTTACCTTTAATACATTTTCTATGGTAAAACTAGTTCTTTCAGTAACTTCAGATTTGCAAAATAAATTGACAGAAATACTTGAGAAAGGAATAAAGAAAATACCGATTTTTATATAATGGATTGTTTCGGTGTTCTCTCTCTTGTCTCTGGCAAATTCCAAAAGTTGTTGCTCACAACAACTTTTGACAAAAGCGCTTTTTGTTAGACTTTACACTTTGATGCTTGCGCTTTTCTGTTTTCTCAAATTTACCACAAATTTTGTTTGAAAAAAAAAATGACGAAAAGGGAGAGCATAGATCTTCTTATAATGATGATAATATTGATTATAATTAATCATGATAGCAACAGGGATAATAAGCATAATGAGAGGAGTAATGATAATGTTAATGGTTGTGATAATAAAATAAGTGATAAGAGTGATGATAAAATGATGGCTATAATTCAGTAATACTGATTCCCTCAATGCCGACAAATATGATTTGCTGTGAAAGGATACATATTTACTAAAATTTAGATTCTTTATGCGAGATTAGTCTAATTCAAAAAAAAAAAAAAATTGTGAACTTTAAATTTTGTTGAAATCAATAAAATCATTTGTCAAATAACTATTCACAACATTGAATATCAATTTTCCGGACACACTTTTCATAAATTTATCTATATAACATTGATCTTTGCAGATCCCTTCATGAAATAAAGCTATAGTTATAGGAATTATTGTTAGAATAGGCAAAGTTTATCACTGAGTTGAATTAAGTTGTTTATATTTTGATTAGAAAGACGATCATAGGTTATGCCGACAAGAAGTTTACAATAAGTTGACAATTAATTGCTTCTGGCGTTAGATAAGAAGCTTGAAATAACGTTCAGAAGACAACGGCTAATGATATGCTGGACAAATATTATTTATTTGTGAACATAGAAACAGATATTTTGGATTATTTCAGCAAAATTGTTTAGTTTTATGATTATAGTAATATGTAAAAAGAGCTATCTTTTCATTCAAAAATCATCAGTAAGTATTTAATATTATATAGCTTGATAAATCATTAAATCTATATTCGTATTATTAATAATTCATAGTGTTTATTAATTTATCATTGATAGATTATACTTTCACTGATATATCATCCTTTTTCACTAACTTATTTTGCATCGTTTTAAATATATTTAAATATTACCCTTGAAGTTTTTTTTTTTTTTTTTTTTTTCCATAGTAGCAAAGATAATATCACAATGATTAGTTGCAGTATCAATAGTAATAAAAGACTTACAGCTGTCATTTTGCTTAACTCTTTTATTATCGATGATATCACAACAGGAAAGACTGCATGTATACCATTGGTACCAATTTTTGAGTTTAAAATTACATTATACTTTTTTTTGACAATTTTTTCTATCCAAGGTTTTTTCTTTTTAAAAAAAAAAAAAAAATTTTTTTTAATCATATTTATTGTAGTAAAAGGAAAAGAGGAGTAACGATGGTTCCAGATAATTTTGCACCATCATTTCATTTCACGATAGTATTTTAGTGTTTTCAGTAGTAGACTTTTATGATTTAACGGAAGGACAAATTTCGATAAGTTAAAAAGATTATTTGATTATTTATGTACCAAAAGAGGAAAAAGATGGCGAAAAAAAAAAAAAAAAAAGTTGTGAAAATAGGAAAAGATTGTAAATAATAGGGTGAATAAACGAAAGAGAAGGTGTTAGGAAACAAGATGATAGGAGAAAGTTGAATGCTAAAGTAGGGTATGGAATGAAAGAGTTCAAAGGGAATTGAAGTAATTTTTTTTTTTGAGATGAATCGGGTGTTGAAGAAGGTGTTGAAGACAAGTGATATTGCTGAGTGGCGTTTTAATAGACCAGTATTATTTGATGGCTGAAAAGAAAAGAGAAAAAAAAAAAAAAAGAAATAATACGAGATACAAATAAAACAAAAATTGTTGTGCTGAATGAAAAATAATCAAATTTGGAGGTGCAAATTTCTTGTTCATGTAAATGAAAAATTGTTCATTTCGGGTGGTTCAACAGAAGCGATATATAGGAGGAGTATGTTTAGGTTTTGAAAGAAAAAATGAATAAATTTTCACAATTTCTCACTTCTTTAGTAAGGATAATTAAAGGAAGAGAAGAGTTGAAGGACAGGAAAATTTTATTGAATCAAGAAGATACAAGAAACTAAAACGATTGATTTAACACCTTTTTTTTTCTCTCTCTCTCTCTCTCTCTCTATAACTTTTTAAATTCTTTTGGATGTTCAATGATTGTTTTTTAATCTTTTCTTTTTTTTTTTTTTTTTTTTGTATGTGTTTTTTGTTTCTTACTCATCCGTTGAAATTATTAATGAGCGAGGAAAAGGTAATTTTTTTTTTTTTCTTTCGAAAATTCTCTAATGAAATATAACACTAAAAAGAACCATAATGAAATTGCTAAAGATAAAACGAGCGAAGAAATATGATAGTAAATTAACGATAGAATTCTTGTCAATTTTTGTAATACGAAATTTGCTGTTAATCAACTTTTATTCTGGTAAAAAAAGAAAGAAAAAGAAAAACCAAGATAGTAATTTACGAGGTGAAGAATAACATCTTTTTATTCAACTAGCGTTAAATAACTATTTACAGATAAAATTAAACTATTATTTAAGAAGTTTTATCTTTTGATATTACCTCTATTTTTTACATAATTAATGGCATAGTATTGTTCATTATTTCATTTATTCATTTTTCATTAAAATTTGAATTCTTTAATTTTAATTCGCATACATGCATTGTATTTCGATTATGCGGAAGTTTTCATAGATTTATTTCATACTGAAAATTGTGAAATTCTGTACTTTGTTTAATTTTATTTATAGGAGTTTTATATAGATATAGATATGATTGCAAGTTGCAATCTGCAATACTAATATTTAAATTATTATGGATAATATTTGACGGTTATAACTGTGTTTGGTGCAAAAAGAGTTTTTAGTTTTAATGAAGAATGAAATGTCTGAGAATCAAAAGAGTACCATTGATGATGATAGAAAAATGCGAAGGAACCGACGAAACATTACTACAAATATTGAATTATTCAGCATCCCCTTTTTATTCGGAAAATTCATGTTATTTGTCAATTAGCGCACAGTTTAACCTTTTTTCTTTTTTCTTTTTTTTTTTTTTTTCTTTTTTTTCAGTTTTCCGTTTTAACAAATTAGCAACTCATAAAGGTAAGATAAATAGGAGTGAGGAAAAAGGAACCAGTCTGTCAATTTCTTCGTTTCCTTTCACACATTTTTATTGTTGATGATACTATTTCGTTTCCGTTTTTTTTTTTTTTTTTTCTTTTCTTTTTTATGATGACAGCAAATAATAATGATGATGATGATGATGATGATAATAATAATAATAATAATACATGGATAAAAGTGCAAAATTGTTGATGTATGCAAATGTGTTATTTTGTTTGAAAGTTATTCAGCTAACTCTATTGATAATTCATATTTTAGTTATCATCGTTATCACTTATCATTTTAGCTTCTATCTTTTTAATAAATCAATGTTATTCGATTCAATATCATTACCTTTATGATTTGTGAATAACGATTTCACTATTCGTAATTCACATATTCCAAAAATAATCTTCAAATCTTGTATTAAGAAATCGGGAAAGAATGTGAGATAGAAAAATTTGGTGCTATCATTGCTTTCATTGTCCGATGATTACACAAGAATTTTCCCGAACATATAATTCAACAGCATTATTTACTTTTCTTAACATATAAAATGTTACTGTTTTTAAGATATTTTTCATCTTATTTCATATTTTCCTCCAAATATTAGAATCAATGCCGACGATGAAAATTTTATGGAAAATTGATAATATCGTTTGTTATATCTACTGAACGAGTTTTTTTTTTTTTTTTTTTTCGTATTCTGCAAAGTTTTCTTTCCTCCGTGATATTTTAAGCATTTCTAAAGCAGAATATTACTATTTGTCATTGAGAAAGTCAGAAGTCGAAAAAATTAAAAACAAATGGGAATTAAATTATGAAGAAAGAAATACAATCTTTTAGATTTTATTAAAATCCAAATGTATACATTGATGCGTACTTCGATTTCTGACTTTCTCAAATATTAGATTTATTATTCTACTATTCTATGCTTAATCTGTTTACATTTGGAAAAATTGCAACTAAAGCATTGAAAAAAAAACGGATAACTGATAAAGAATGGATACCTTGTAGATCACATTTGACTTTTTCTTTAATGAAAATAATGTAATATAAATTTCTTGAAAAATTGATCCACAATTTTAATACAGTTCATATTTCAATTTTACGTTACAGATGACCATATTGCATGTTACATGTAAAAATTTTTATTAAATCATGTTATTTTTATTAAATATATTTTATTCAAATGATTTAAAATAATTTATTCATCTCCAAATTTTGTTATTTTATCTTGTCTTATCATTTTATTTATTCATTTATTTTTTTTTTTGAATTTATTTTTGTTACAGTTATGCGAAAGTAAAGTTGGTCGTGAAACACTACGCATCAAAAATATCTATGCATTGTTGCGAGAATTTGATCGTGCTTCATCATCTTCATTATTATCAGTAAAGAAGAAGGAGGACTCAATGATTACATCACCAATGATATCGAATAATGTGGATAACATCACGAATAATCATTCTCAGTCTGGAATTGATGATTCAAAAGATATGCAAGTTGTGTCAACAGTTCATAATATTCAGGAACTGAGTATAGAATGTGATAACATGCAAAATATGGAATTTATGAATGAAAACGAAAATTTAATATACATAGATGGACAAAACTGTTCGACTTTACATGCATTGATTGGTTTACTTATTCAGGATTGAAATTTTAAGTCTGTATATGTAGATATTAGGGGAGAGGGGTATGGAGAGTTTAAGTTGTTTTTTTTTTTTTATGAAACAAGATTCAAATTATTATTATTGTTTTTCTTATCTTATTTTTATTTGTGATTTGTGAAACAAGATCCAAATTAGAATTGCTCATTTTCTGATCATACTTGAAAAAAAAAAAAAAAAGCTGATAAGAAAATTTCTATTGAATACTATTCTAATGCTTTATGAATTGCTGTTAAGGTTATTAGCTACCATGGAGGTTTGTGCTTATAATGATTTTTAGTTTTTCAATGGAGATAAAGAAAAAAGAAATAGGTAAAGGTCAATGTAAGTTTAGTGGATGAAGTCTTGTTTTTTTTTTTTGCTTTATTGTTACTGTTTTACTATTTTGCAACTTTTTTTTTTCTTGATATCAATTCCATTCTATGAAATAATTCCTTGAAATACTGTATTATTAGCAGTCACTATTGAAATAATTATTTTAACGGCCAAAATATTTGGGCGAAATACTCCAAACCTTAACTAACAGAAATATTGAGGCTCAAAATCATCTAGTTTAATTTAGCACAAATAATTTGAATTACTCTGCATTCGTTAAAGCTATTTTGTTCTGCACTTTGCTTCATGTTCAACTTTCTCTTACTTCTCGTTTCTTCGTTTTGTTTTATTGTTTTCAACCGGATGAAGTATTCATCACAAGGATGATTAAGTGTTATGCGTCATCCTTCTATTATGCATTATATTATCACAGATTTTGATATAAACGCTTCTCAATAATTGTTCAAACATTTGACGTAACCATTAGAAAAGTAAATCTAAATCTAGCAAAATTTCTAGTAAATTCATGAAAGTTTCAAAAAAATTTTCATCAAAAAGAAAATTTTATACTCCTCTTTTTCTTCATTTAAAAAAAAAAAAAAAATGATACGCTATGTTGACATTTTAACATCGATTATCTTTCACTTAAAGCGTCTGAATCGACGACAATCTTCACCATATGGTGTTAAAAACTTGTTGTCACACCAGAAATATGTCGCAATTAAATCAGATCTAATTCGATCGTGCCAATCGTCCTGTAGGTGTTACATTTTGACAGAAGTTTCGATGTTATGTCAATAAAAATGAGTTTGTTAATGATGACGGATGGGTTGAAGTAATACACAGGCAAATGAGCTATATTTTTCTTTTTTTTTTTTTCATTTCATACGAAAAAAAAAAACAGATGGTACAGTTATCTGTCGCCTGTCGCTTCTTGAATTACTCGCGAAAAAGTGTCATTCAAGAATTAACAATAAACAGTTTTATACGCATATATGTATATATAATCAATTTTATTTATATTCTACATGATAGCTTTTCATTGTAATAATAGTAAGACTAAAATGAAGGATACTTACTTAAATTTTAATTCAAATAATTTTTGTAATACAGTAAACAAGTGCCGTATAATTTTATTTAATTATTGATGAAATTACGGTATTAATACATACACACACATACACAGATAATATATACATCCATATTAAATGTATGTGTAACAGATTGTTGAAAATTAAAATGATTTTACAAAGTAATCAAATATCTACGAATTGAAACATTGCAAAAATGAGAAGAATGTGCGGAAAGAAAATCGATGAGTTCATTTAACATCATTGTATATATATATCAAAATTTCATCAAATTTCTTTGAAATTACAATTTTTTTTTTTTTTGTTATCAATTTGATTGCTTAATCAAATTTTGTAGTAATAACAAAATTTTCCAATATTTTTGAAATGCAATTAAATTGAACGGAAAAGAGGAACACAAATGTTACTTTGTTCATTTCCTTTAATAGTATTAGTAATTCAAAATGAAGTAATTACTTATATTTTAGATAATTTAGTAAATTAAATAATTATTTTAATTAAAGACAACTATTGTTAGCATATTGAAGCAACAAATTTCTTCTATCTCTATTATTTATAAGCTAACTTATTAAATTGTTTTTTTAGAAGAAAAATGTCAATACTGAAATTTGGGAATTTTAAAGGAAAGAAGAAAGATGACAATAATTTAAAAAATAAAAATAAAATAAAACCTTACTTGAAACATTTCTCTTAACATAGATTAGATAAATTTCAAATTTAAATTTGCATAAAGAATTATAATTTCTTATTAATAATCAAATTAAAATCTACAACTACTAACTGTATATATAATAAATATTATTCTATATATTAGTGATTATAATTAAAATAAAATGCAGTAATAAATATTATTGTAATGGATTGCAGAAATAGTTTTCCAGGAAATCAAAAAATGAAATCAGTCAATCAATGCACACACAATAAAAGCATAGCGAAATAGGAGAAAAAAAAAGTACAATATTGATTGAAGTTTTTGATAAATTTGTGAAATTTAGTAATTGATTACATAAATAATCAATTAATATATTTACAGTGAATATATTTAATTAATAAATAATTATATAAATTCATTTTACCATACTTATATATAAAGTATAAATATACCAATGCAATTTATCATTTTCATTTACATTTTATTTTATCATTCAAAAATTCAATATATCTTAATTAAATATATGCTTTACCAAAAAACATTTTAATTACAATTTGAATCAAATAATAAATAATCGATGTTTATCTTTTATAAGTACCACTCATTATTTAATTTTAAATCATACCCAATATCAATGATGGAAATTTGGAAAAATGAACTATGCTTCCATGATGTGATACCGAGGTACCATTGTTGCACCAACATTACCGCATACCTAAAATTTAATGTTGTAGCGCTGTGTACAATTATAATATTATGTTGTGACACCGAGGTACCGTTGTTGCACCATTATTACCACATAACTAAAATATGCTATGTATATCATGGTGATTGATAGCATTACCGTATACCTTGGTTTATTAGCATATATAGGCATTTTTATATCCTATCCGGTTAATTTTACCTATTTTAGCAATGCTAACATAGGTAAACACAAAGTACATCTTAAGTAACACGTCTGTTACGTCAATTAAATTGCTTGACTTCGTATACGCTTAGCAATAGATACGTCACTTATCATATTTATACTAATCTATAACATTATCATATAAATTAAGCCTAAAAGACAAGCTACTTAAAAGATATTTACACGTCAGTTTATGTTAATTATATTGACTAAATCTTCATGCATAAAAATCTGTTAAAAAGCAATATCGAAAATTTGTTCCATCTATAATCACGTACGTCAAAATTAACTTTCCGTCTCATTTTCTCGTATTATTACAGTATAAGAAGTAACTTTCCACAATTTCTTCACTGACCTCTGATTGATGCAAATAATATAATATAACATACCGTATCCTATAAAAGTTGCTAGCAAAAATATTTATTTATTTATTTATTTATTTATTTATTCATTCATTCATTCATTCATTCATTCATTCATTCATTCATTCATTCATTCATTCATTCATTCATTCATTCATTCATTCATTCATTCATTCATTCATTTTTTTTTTTTTTTTTTTTTTTTTTTTTTTTTTTTTTTTTTTTTTTTTTTTTTTTTTTTTTTTTTTTTTTTTTTTTTTTTTTTTTTTTTTTTTTTTTTTTTTTTTTTTTTTTTTTCATTTTTTTTTTTTTTTTTTTTTTTTTTTTTTTTTTTTTTTTTTTTTTTTTTTTTTTTTTTTTTTTTTTTTTTTTTTTTTATTTTTTTTTTTTTTTTTTTTTTCATTCATTCATTCATTCATTCATTCATTCATTCATTCATTCATTCATTCATTCATTCATTCATTCATTCATTCATTCATTCATTCATTCATTCATTCATTCATTCATTCATTCATTCATTCATTCATTCATTCATTCATTCATTCATTCATTCATTCATTCATTCATTCATTCATTCATTCATTCATTCATTCATCCTATCAGCTTATCACTTTATCACCTTATTACCCTATCATTCAATCCCACACGTATCACGTAATAAGCCGTAATAAGCATTTTTTCTTACTTTTTATTATCAAAGTAAATGTTACATTTACAAATACTTTACATAAAAATTTTTTTTCTTTTCGTTAATAAATTTAAATTGAGTTAACCTAACAAATATTTAGGGTGCAAATTTAACAATTTTGATTTATAGTACTTTTCACATCAAAAAAAGACGAAAATATTGAATGACAGTATTTAGACAATTAGAAAAAAAAAAATGAACAAATTCATTTGCAAATATGGAAAAGATATGAAAAAAAAAGAAGAAATAATTTTCGAAAAGAAGGAAAAAAGTTTGAAATCTTAATTTCATTAAACAATGACAATATTAATTGTGGTGGTAGTCGAATAATGGTAGCAAGTGGTTAGCAAGTGGTGGCAATGGTAGTAAAGGTGTGGTATTGGTGTTAGCGGTAATGAGAAATGGGATGGGTTAAAATGGTACCGCCCAAGTTATGCCCAAGCAATAGCAAAAAGTAAGTGCACCAAACAGCAGTAGCAAGCAGAGAAATATATCAGTGGAGCAACAGTTCCCAGCTTATCTTAGGTAGGGTTTTTTTTTTTTTTTTGCTATCTTTAGCCGTTCCACTCCACCCTTTTCCCATTGTTACCTATCTAGATGCCCACCTCCTAAAATTTACCCATTTCCCCGCCCTCCTACTAAAAATTTCCCTCCCTCTTTCCCTATCTTTTTATTTCCATACTGAATAGATTTTTCCCCTACTCCACCCCCTTTTAGATGTTAAAGCAACCAATAAGATGCAAAATTTATCGAATTGCCCACCTAAATACTACCATTCATAAAACAAAATTCCAGTATACATACATACATACATACATACACATACATACAGACCACACACACACACACACACATACATACATACATACACACATAGATCCAGAGAGCAGTAAACACAACTTCCAAAGGTGTCAATTTCGTCAGTTGTCCTTGCTACCGCTCCCATCGAAAAGCTGTCTGTCCATTCGCATGTTAACCAAATGTGTCCATCTGTCCACTACTAATCAACCACAATTAACATTTATTACCTCTCATCACTTATCATTAACAATAATGAATTGTACTGTATTCAAATGTATGTATGTGTCTGTAGTTGTGTATGTGTGTATGTATGTGTGTGTGTGTGTGTGTGTGTGTGTACGTATGTATGTGACATATCAATAAGTGATTACGTTTTCTTATTATCTATTGAAATTTTTTTAAACCTTTCAATTATCAAATTTTTGCTTCTTTCCTTTTTTTTTTTTTTTCTTTTGCATCATTTGATACGGTATATTAGATTATTTGTTTATTTTTTTGGTAACATTAGATAGCATTCATATATTTGGTTAATATATTCATTTTTGATATTACTAATACAATATATTACAATAATTAATTGTTGATAAGTGATAATTTTAATCAACTAATTAATTAATTAATCATTACCTATTTTTCATGTATGCAAGTATTGCTGTTTGTCTTTAATTATTTATTATAGACAAACAAATTTTTACTAGAATTATATACGTTTCAAATGAATTTATTTAAAAATTATACGTTTGAAATGAAAAAAAAAATTAATTAATTAATTAAAAAAAAAAAAACAAAACAAAACAAATGATTACTTCTACAGTGTGCATATTAACGGATGGTTATCAAATGGTCGCTAAAATGATACTATCAATAATTTCATTGATTTACTGATTAATTACTGTAATTTGATTATTATTTCATCGAAAGAAAGGAAAAAAGAAAAAGGCCTGTGGTATTGTTATTATTGTATTACTATTATTATTATTATTATTACTGTTATTATTATTACTATTACAATTATTGTACTGGCAATATTCACTGAAGAAAGCCGATAATATTACTATCATAATCAGCTAATCATTTTAGTAATGTGTTAAAATTATTATTGTACCGTATGCACATGGCATTTAATCCATTTTTGGCAAGGCCAGAATTAGCTTTGCTACCACCTTATCTGCAACCGCCACCATTTCCATCATTACCTGGTCCAACGGGTTTTTTTCCTCGGTTACCAACTGAAATAACCGAATTTACTCCATCATTACCATCAACAGGTACACGAATTATGGATGATGATGGTATAATTGATGATCCAAAAGTGGAATTGGATGATAAAAATCTCTGGGATCAATTTTGTAATTGTGGTACCGAAATGGTTATCACCAAAAGTGGAAGGTGCATAAAATTTTTCTTTTTGCAAATCAAAAAAAAAAAACGAAATTTTTGTTTTCTAAATTTGAAAATCTTACAAATATTTTATTATAATTTTTCTTTTTTAAATTAATACTAAAAAAAAAAATGAGCTAATATTGTTAAATTTTTAGCTTTAAATTAAAATTCAATTTTTAGTATAAAATGTTGCTAAGAAAAAAAAGAAAAAAAAAAAAGTAGAAAAAAGGAACTTTCCTTTTATTTGAATTACTAAAGATCATAATTTATCATCCAATAGTTTAACTAATCATTGATCGTTTTATAATCATGTTTTTGCCAAGGTAACTAAATCATTATCATTAATTTCCTTGACATTCCTCACTCTTCCTATTTTTGCATCCCTCATATATCATTTGTAAGCACGTTTACAGTACTCTCATTAATCTTAACTTAAAACTTACATATGTTTATTTTACGTAGATCATTAGTTACGTCATTTGCTTTAAAGTAATTTCAACTTCTTTTTTCCTCATTTCGTTTTTTTTTTTTTTTTATTTCTTCTTTTAATAATTTAATTTCGGACACTGTCACATAACTTTTTTCCATTTTGAATAAAATTACAATTCATTCTTTTGCTTTATTCTGATTTTACAAATACTCAACAAACTTTAAGCTTTAATTTAAAAATAAAAAATCTCATAACTCATAATTAATAGTTTATTCACCACTCGAACACTTTTATTACTTACTTTAAGTTAATGCACTCATTTATTCCTTAAGTTAAAAACTTTTTTTTTTTTTATTTGATAAAAATAAAAGTTGATAATTCATATAATTAGCATTGTTTTTTCCATAATCAATGTATTTATATTTTTATATATTTATGAATATATAATGTACTTATATTTATAAATATATATTTTTGGTATTTATATATTATATATTTATTTATGAATAGATAATGTACCTTTATTTATAAATATATATTTTTAGTATTTTATATATTATATATTTATTTATGAAAAGATATTTATGCCAAACATTTTTTAATCATTATTTTCTTATCTTTTTTTTTTTTTCATCCATTTTGACTATTTTATACAATTTTACAACATATCTTTAACATGCATTCTAATCTCTCAAGAATTTCTATCAAAAAAAAAAATGGATAAAAAAAATAAAATAAAAAAAAAAAAAAATTTTCACATTAAAATGAACAATTTGAACAACCAAATCTGCTTGTTAATGATAAATGAGAATTGAAAATGCCTCATTAACTATTATTTTGGCACAAATTTCAATTATTATTTTTGATAATTACTTTATTTATAGCAACAGAAAGAAAAAGGAAAAGAAGAGAAAGGGAGAAAATGACAGATAGAAAGAAAAGATATAAAGATATGAAGAGATAAGAAATATTTTGTACTATCAATTTTTGGATTAAATCAATAAATGTATTAAATGAACGAATAAACATGTAACAATGAATGATTGAATGAATGAATGAATGAATGATTGAAAGAATGAATGAATGAATGATTGATTGAAGGAATGAAATGAATGAATGATTGAATGAATGAGTGAATGAATGATTGAAGGAATGAATGAATGAATGAATGAATGAATGAATGAATGAATGAATGAATGATTGAATGAATGAATGAATGAATGATTGAAGGAATGAATGAATGAATGAATGAATGAATGATTGAATGAATGAGTGAATGAATGATTGAATGAATGAGTAAGTTTCGCTTAAATTTTAGATATTAAAATTTGAAACAAATCGATAAGCAGCACAATTAAAAATGGAAATGACAGTGGAATGTCGTAAATGACTAACAATAAAGACAACATATGTTTAAAATTGGTATAAATTGAAGAAAATTTAGAACGATTAAAATGGCAGACAAATTTTTCTTCCTTTTATCTCCCTCTCTCTCTCTCTCCACTTTCTCTCTCTCTCTCTCTGCGTATATATGTATCTGTGTGTAAAATTTAAGAATAGCTCTTCTTTTTTTTTTTTTTTTTAATTTTATTTGAGAAATAAGAGGAAAAAAAAAAAGATATTTTGAAAAGATAATAAAAACCAAAAAGATTTTTCCTCTTATCAAATTACTCAATTAAATGACAGACAAAAGATGATGACAATTTATACATTTTATTATTATTCATTGTTATCTTTCATTGATTCATCTCTTTCTCTCTCTATCTCTCTCTTTTTTTTAAAAAAAAAGAGAGATTTTTTTTTGTTTCTAATCTTTTTTTTTTCTTTTTGTATTTTTATACTTAAATTTTATTTTAAAAATTTAATTTCATAATTATTCTAAGATTAGAATAGAAATAATTTTATTACTTACAAGTTATAATTGATAAAATATGAAATTTTACATATAAATTAATATTACAATTTAATATTAGCATAGAAAGTATATTATTTATAATTTAAATTAACTTACACTGCAAATTATTATTGATATAATTTACACAACATTTAAAAAAGAACAAAAAAATTACACAATATTTAATTTATAAATAGAAAAAAAAATTATTTTGATTAAAATATTTTTAACATAGTAAGAATTGTTTAAAATTTGTTGAGTAATTTTTTTTTTTTTTTTTTAAAAAACAATTCTAAATTTTAATAAAATCATTTAATCTTTTCATTTTTTTAAATCAATGATTGTAATGAAATTATTTGAAGAAAAGAATTAAAAGTTTCAATTTATAAAATGTGATAAATTTTTGATTAATTTATCATTTATCAAAAAGCAGTGATATTATCACCATATTCTAACTCATATAAATTCATCTTGCATTCTTACAAAATTAAGTAAAAAGAAACAAAACAATGGATGAAATTAATGAATTTTAAAACAGATAATAATCAAAAAAAAAATTTTTTTTTTTATTTGAATTTAATATATTTGTTTTTTTGCTTAATCAGTCTTAATCACTGATAAAACAAAAGAGAATAAGATTTATCAAAATTGTCCTTTTTTTCTGATTTATCATACTTGATATATTGAAATTATAACTTTATCATATCATAAGTTTCCATACTCATACGATTTATCATAAATAACCACACAAACACATGCTAGTTAAAATTTAATTGAAAATAATTTAAAAGTTTCCTTTCTTCTTTATCACTTCACTTCAAAGATCACACACTTCTGATAAGCATGTCTATCTAAATCTGTTTGTATCATTGTGACATTTGACACTTATCAGTGACACAAACAAAATGATCAATTTGAAAAAGTTGTTCAAATTTTGATCAACAATCCTTTTCACATTTCATTCATCCAATTTTATCTCACTTTTCCATTTATCAATTCTTTACCCATCTTTCTCCATCGTCCCGTTTTTCTGTCGTTGTCGTCCTCCGTAGTTGACTCTTTCTCAATTTTGCTTCATTTGTGTTAAAAAGATTTATGACAGTTTATAAGTGAATAAGATGGTGTATATCAGATGGATAACACATTGCAATCTATTAATTTAAATTTAATTAATGGGTGTGAAATTGAAACAATGAAAATAAGATTAGTTTCCTGATTTCTTTTTTTTTTTTTCATCAATTAATTGTTAGAAATGTAATAAAGACAAAGAGAGAGAGAGAGAGAAAAAAAAAGAAACAAAAAAAAAAAAAAGAAGCAAAATAATTGAACAATTTTGATAAATTTTTGACAAAATTTAATAAAATAATTTTTGTTTTTACATCTTTTAAACGAAAACAAGTTTAAGTCAATTAATTATATTAATTAATCAATTGTAATTTATAATTTTAACCATTTAAAATTGTCATAATGAATTAGCAAATATATCATCAATACTATCCAGTTAATAGCAATTGTGATGAATCCGGTTATCTCAAGTGAAAATTTATTCCGGATAAAATCATGTATGGCCATTATATTACCTTAACATATCATTCATTTATCACTCCAATTTATTTGTTAATTAATCAAATTTAAATGCTTAAATAAAACTAATGCAAATTTTTATGCCAAATTTGTTTAACTTTAACAATTTCTTTCAATCAGTTTTATTATAAACAAATTAAAATTATCAAAATTTTTTTGCAACATTGAAAAATTTTTTGCGTATAATAAAATTAATGAATTAATACTTAATAAAATAAATTATTATTAAAATCGATGCATTTAAAAATTATAAAATCAAAAATTTTAATGTAACAATAATTCAAAACTTTTGGAAAATAAAAAAAAAACAAATTATTTATTATATTTCTCCTACAATTATAATAAAACAATAATTTTTATTGAAATGAAATGTTTAAATTGAATGAAAAATTTTTATTAACATTTTGATACTTTTCGAATTATATTAAATATTATCATCTTATTGTTAAATGGTGACATTATCATTCGTGAAATTTTCTTTTGTTTGAAAATTTACAAAACATTGTTGATTTAAATGAGGAAAAAGAGATGAAAGGATATAAATGAGTTAGTATCATAAATGAGAAGACAATAGATGAAATAAATGGAAAAAGGTAAGAAGAAAATTTGATGTAACAGATCGAAATGATTTTATTGATGTTATCTGGTTGACATTTTCCAACGAATTGAGCATGTATTTTGATGGGTGTGAATGTGGGGACTTAAATATATTTTCATTCTTTAATTACAGTTATATCTGTTTGTCTAATTAATTCAAAACTTTCTTCATACAATTTTAATTAAATATTATTTTTAAAATTTAAAATATTTCATTGATAGAATAAATATGGCTTACATAGAAAAATTTTTTAATACATTTATATTAATAGAAAAGAAATAATATTGATGGCAGTATAAAATAGAAAATGTTATTGATAAAGACGATAATTTGATGATAACAGATATAATTGTAGCAAATAAAATCATATAATTATTATTATTGTGAAACATTTAATTATTATAATAATAATTACTATTATAAAACGAATATAATCATGATAAAATTGCATAACTGTAAAATAAATAAAAAGATAAGTGAAGAGAAAACATATTGCACTATCTATTGAATAATTCAATTTTAACTATTGTAAATTTGAAATTTAATAATGGCTAATTATTAATAGCAATAGCATTGCTTTATTTGATTTATTAAATTTTAATTTAGTTTAAACTCGAAAAAACTGCTTAATTCGAACTATTCTATTTGTTGCATACTTCCTACTAATGGCAGCATTAAATTTCACAGTAATCTTATTAAGTCAAAATTTAAATTCGAAACAATTTATTTTAATTAAACATCCTGAATTAGTTCAAAATTTTTGTTTAAAATCTTAAGAGATAAAAAGTTTAATCTAATATTTCCAGACTTTTTTTTTTTTTTAGCTCGTACATTTTTACATTATAGGCGGATTTTTCCGGCTTTCAAAGTAAAACTTTCCGGTTTGGACAAACGTTCCAAATATATTTTGTTAATGGACATTGTACCGGCTGATGAATGTCGCTACAAATTTCACAATTCTCGATGGATGGTAGCAGGTAAAGCAGATCCAGAAATGCCAAAACGTATGTACATACATCCGGATAGTCCGGCAACCGGTGAACATTGGATGACAAAGGGAGCAAATTTTCATAAATTGAAATTAACAAATAATATCTCCGATAAGCACGGCTTTGTAAGTTTTTTTTTTTTTCACTTTGTTTTTTGTTTTTTCTTAAAAACTTTGAAAGAAAATTTATATAATATTATATGTCATTTTGTTTGATTTATAATAAAATTTTGATTTAAATTAATTAACAAAATACAAAATGTGATAAAAAGTTTCAATGATATTTGCTTAATCATTGAAAAAATAATTTTTATCTAAAAATCTTTGCATTTTTCTTCCTTTTTTTTAACTCTCTCATTTCTTCTTTCTCCCTTTCTCTGTCTCTCTCTCTCTCTCTCTTTAAATTCATCAAGTATTTCTAACAAAGATCAATAGTTGACTTTTTTTTTTTCATTGTTAATGAAAGTTAATCATAGGTCACACAAAAAAAAAATGATCCAAAGATCTATTGGGACAGAGCCAAAAACTATTAAAACCATTTAATTTAATTACTTAAAAAGAAGATTAATTAAATGAATAATTAGAGGAATGATAAAAGTTTTTAAAATTTAAATTCGTATCTTTCAACTATAAAAGTAAAAAATTTACAATTATTTCTTTGACTAAAAAAAGAAAAAAAACAATCATTCCTTTCTATTGTTAATATTTATTTATTGGAATTAATTCAAAATTGAAAATTTTCATTTTCGTTTTGTATGCAATATATGCAAGCATTGCATATATTTTTTTTTTCGCATAAATATTTAAGTAAATAATTGAATTTAAATAAACAAACAAATATATTAGCAATGATTCATACCATAATTGATGTACTTGGCGTAAATTTGTTAATTGTAAAAACGGTAAGTGTCAATTTAAAAATTAATTATTTCCATTTCTTGGTGGAATACTTTGCAGAGGAATTTAAAATTTAAAAATTGTTTTAAAAATTTTTGCTAAAACATATTTTATACATACGGTAACATTACTATTCATATGATTGCATTTTTCATTTATCCAAAATCGATTTTCTATAAATAAAAATTTGTTTTCCTCTTTTTTTTTTTTGCAAAAATTGTTTTTTTTTTTCTATTTTCAAATAATATCATATTTTTCAGTAGTAATTACCTTTTTTTTTTTTTTTTTTTTTATCCCAGTTGTGCAATAATAGAAAAACAAAAATTAATAAATTTTAGTGATAATTTATATTTTGTCAAAATTAAAAAGTCGTTGTTCATTCAGTGGGAAAATTAATTTTTCATTGAACATTTTTCTTAATGGAGACAATTTAATTAGTGTGACAAATGTACAATTGAACAGAAAAGAAAAAAAATTTTCTTTTTTTTTTTTCTTTCCGATTCAATTTAATCAATTCATCGAACAAATCTAACATCTTCCATTTTTTTTAATTTACTTCTTGCTACTTATTTATTTATTTTTTTTTAAAAAAAATTGTCAAAAATTTTTGAACTAAATTTTTTTTTTTTTACAAATTTATAAGAAACAGGATAAAAATACAAACATTACATATTTTTAATTTTAGTTCTTAAAAAAAAAAAAAAAAGCATAAAATAGAAGTAAAAATTTTAAAATTTTAACAAAAGATACAAATTTTTTTTGTTTTTTTGATTTATTGAATTTATATTTTCACGCAATTATTTCACGTATTTTACGTTTATATGTTTTTGCGAGTTATTCAACTATTATGCTAATAGTTTTGAAAGATTACTATTATTATGATGGATTTTATTGAGCAAGTATTAGAAGTAGAATAATATTAAACATAATCTTTCCTCTCTCTCTCTCTATTTCTCTCTCCCTCTCTATTTTGAAATATTATCACGAGATGATTGTTTGTTCGACATTTGTAAGTGTTAGTGGTTGTTAGCAAAGGTTTGTCGAGAATGAGTGCAATGGGATAATAGCGGCAATAGAGAGAGAAAATGAAAAAGAAGTTAGAAATGAAAAGCGGTGAACACTTTAAAGTAAAGCATACCGACATTAGCCAGAAGCTAACAATCAAGCTAAAAAGTAAGCTAGCAAGCTAGCAAGCAAGCAAGCAAACTAATAATCAAAAGCTACCGGTATCTTTTCAAGCTAATCTCTGCGCTCCGCATTGTTCATCACCGCCATTTCAATAGAAAAAGCGAGAGAGAGAGAGAGAGAGAGAAAAAAAGAGGAGAGAATTTAATAGCAGATGTGTAAATAGACACCTTTTTACCATTTAGGCAGCTCATATACTAAACAAAGTGCTTTCAAACTCAAATTCAAATCGAAGCACTATTTAAATTTATTACAAAAAAAAAAAAAAAAGTAAGAAAAAGAAAATTGTGAATATGCTATTAAAAAAAAAGAAAACCCCCAATGGAATAGAATTAATATATAAAGCAGTAAATTGGTTTTAAGCAATAGCAGAAAAATTTGAGAGAAATTCTCAACAACAATAATATTAAGATAGGAAATTTATATTGGACATTTCTATTTAATCATTCCAAGAATTATGTAACGAGAAATTTACTAGGTTTAAGCAAAAAAAAAAAAAAAAAAAAAACAAAAATTTTTGTTAATTTTATTTTTACTTTTACAAATAATTATTTACTTCGTTTTTTTTTTTCTTTTTTTCTTTTTTCTGTTTATATGTTAACATATTAATCAGTCATTATATGTTAGATCATTCGTTGACGTAAATTTTAGTTGCATCATTTAAAAAAAAAAAAAAATAAAGTGATCAAAAACTAATAGTTTGAAATGAAATATTTTTTCGTTTTTGCTTTTTTTTGCACTTTTATCTTTTAAGTTATAATTTTTTTTTTCCTTTGGTTGTTAAAAAAAGGAAAAAAAAAGTGAAATATATAGTGTATTGATATGTATTAATCAGATGATATATAAATCGATTTAATGAACTGATTGATTGATTGATTGATTGATCGATTATTGATCAAAAAAGGTAATTTTTCAAAATTTCTCCTAAGCAATACAAAATTTCATTCTTACATAAACATTTATCTCCTCTTATTTAACATTTTTTCAGTATCAATTTCTCTCTCTTTACCTCTCTCCCTCTCTCTCTCTTTACCTTTTCCCCTCTCTCTCTCCCTTACTCTTTGTGATTTTATAAATTTGTTTAAAATACCGTTAAAATGATGTGCTGTGTACTTCAAAAAGGTGTAACTATCGTCTTTTCATTGTTTGACAATGAAATGAAGTCAACTCCCACAAATTATCCTACGGTAATGGCAAGAAGATAAGATGTCATCAAATAGTGATCACTACAATGTATCTCTTTGTCTCCTTGTCTGTCTCTCTGTCTGTCCCTTGTCATTGTCTCTGTTTATGTATACAAGGGAGAGGAAGATTAATAGGAAAGGAGAATGGTCTGTTTGTCAGTCTGTACATTTCAAAATTTACCACTGTCTGTCTGGTTCTTCTTTAATCTGCTGAGATTTGAGGAATGATGCAATTCACAATAATATGACGATGATGATGATGATGATGGTAGTGATGACAACAAATAATAACACTATTATTAATAATAATCATGACAATAATAATATTAATGATGATAGTGGTGAAAATGATAATATCAATTGTAATTATGACAATAATAATATCAAGAATAATCACGACAATAATATTAATGATTATAATGGTAGCAAATAGTAATACTATTATTAATAACTATTATTACAACAATAATATTACTGATAATAACGATGAAAATAATAATATCAATTGTAATCATGACAAAAATAATCACGACAATAATGATAATGATGATGACGAAGATGACAATGATATCAATAACAACAATGACAATAATAATCGCAACAATAATGATAATGTTGACAATAATAATAATACCAATGGTAATCACGAAAATAACAGTATTAATAACTGATGACAATAATAGTATTGTTGATAGTCATAAAAATAATAATATTACTTTTTTCTAATGATGATGATGATAACGATAATAACAATATTAATGATAATGATAATAATAGTTGTGAGAGATACATTGTTACTATTAATTTTCGTGCAAAATTTTTTTTTTGCACTACAACATTTATTAATAACATTAGTAATAATTGTAAATGCTCTAAGATAGGTGGAGAAATTTTTTCTTTATTCATATTTTGAGATTTAAATTAAATTATTTGAAATAATATTAATAAAATCATATGTTATGTCAACTATTAAAAAAATAGTTGAAAAAATGAAAGCGGTAATTAAATAGAAAAAGCATCAGCAAAATATAATTAATAATACTACTATTTGAAATCTATTAATCCAAAAAGTTTTAATTATACTATTATCACTATTATCACCGAAATATTATCATTCATAAATATATAAACAATTTTAAAATCTATTACGAAAAATTTTATATATTTCTTTATATATAAAAAAAGATTTATATAATTCATTATTAATACAAAAGTGATTTTTTTTTTAACTTTTACTTTTTCTGTCTTCTTTATACTCTCCCTCTCTCTCTCTCTCTCCCTTTATCTATTTATCTTGATTTTCTGTTTGTTTCTTGTCAAAATGATAACTAATACAAAATGGATGGTTCATTATCGATGGTAAATGATGATAGTCCCTGATTGATCGAGAATAATCCTAGTTAAGTTGTTCAATTTCTATCGTATCATCATCCATCACAAACCAATTCAAATCATTTCATCATTCATCTTTTCTTCTCCAAAATTTGCCGCATCTTTCTTCGTTTTTTTTTTTTAAATGTGTTAAATAAAATTGAAACGGTGGTAGAGAAGGCAAAAAAAAAAAAAAAAAAACGGAACATCTGACGTTTCAGAATATTTCATTTATTGCAAGCATTCACACCCATAAACAAATTTTCATTACGTTTTTTTTTTTTTTTTTTTAAAAAAAAATGAAAAAACGAAAAAAAATTTTTGTTTTGTTTTCTAACTTTTAAATAACTCTAAATTTTGAAAATTATTAAAATTTAATTGTATAACTAAATTAAAAGGATAATACTAAATGACAATAAAATACATTATGCAATGTATATTACTTCATTTGTTCGTTTTTTTTTTTTTTTTGAAAAAGTAAAATATATAATTAAACCAAAAATATTTGACAATTTTTTTTTTTTTTGCTTATCCAAATTTGATTAATTAAAAATGAAATGAAATGAAATCTATTGTGAAAAAGTAAATGAATGAATAGGTTAATGATGAAGAAATATTCATAAGGATACTGTAGCATAGCTAAACCAACATACTTTCATTAATTGTGTCAACTTGAAAATTCCTAATTTTTGCATTAAATTATATTTGTTTGAAAAATACCAAAAAATAATTTTCATTATCAATGTAAATTTACAATTTTACTATAATTTTAATTTTTTGTTTTTATTAAAGATTAACCGACCAAAAATAAATGAGAAAAAAAAAAAAAAAAAGGAAATTTGAACGAAAAAGATTGAAGCATTAATTGTCATTTTATTAGATCAAATTAAAAAGGACAAAGAAAACAAAAAGAAAGATGACACTAAAACATGTCAACAGATCAAGTTTATATTTGTATCTTTCACTCATTTCTTCTCATCAACATATTTTTTAAATTGTTTTAAAATAAATTAACAATAAGGAAATTTCATTGAACTTGCTCTTCTTCCTTTTATTTATTTTATCTTTTTCGTTTTCTTCTATTTTCTAAAATATTTCGAAAAAATATCGAATTAAGCTTTCTTTCTGTTTGCAAAATAAAATTTCAATAAAATTTTTATTTTCATATACAAAGCTCACATATATTGCAATAGAAATCAAACAATACTGTCAGCAGTGAATGATAACAATTGATTAATTAATTAATTGTCATTTAATTTTTTATTAAGTCAAACTAAGAAGCAATTGTTTTTATTTACCATTCATTTGCCATTTTTTATCTTAAATAAAATCAAATTAATCAAATTTTAACATCATAAAACTTTTCTGAAGACAAAAATTTTCGCAATGTTAAACTAAAAAAAAAAATTTTGAGAAAAAAAATAAATTAATTAAAATAAATTTAAAAAAAAATTTCCTTTTCGTCTTAATTTATTTTTTGTGTTCTGCAAAAATTTTTAAAATGGAAAAGACAAAATGATTGGGTTTTTTTTTTCTTTTAAAATTTTTTTTTTTCATCTTTTTACAACTAAATCTTTTCTTTTACAACACTATTTAATTTAATGCTTAACAATTAATTTACCAATTAAATTCTTTTATTTGAGTAGCAAAAAAGTTAGTTATTTTTAAATAAAATTGATTATTTGTTTTTTTTTTTCTGAATATATTTTTATTTATTTTTTAAAAATTTCAAACTTATAAAATTTTCATTTTTTTTTTGTAAATCGCAACGATAAAAAAGTATTGCGCAGTTGAGGAAAGTTCAACAATGTCAATTGTTGTTGCCATTTCTTAATTAGCAGAAATTAATTTCTAATCGTTTTAAATTAAAAGATATATTAATGAAAATTAATGAAACATTTGCACAACATTTTAAACAAAAATTTTTATCACAGTGACAGACTTTTTAAAATTACAAAAAAAAAAAAAAAAAAAAAAAAGCAAAGAAAAGAAAAAATTAATTTTCAATTAATTTTTATCAAGTGAAACTATAAGAAAAAATTATTTTATTTTTTCTTATTTTTTGTCTTAAGTAAAAATTTTTTGAAAGTAATAAAAAAATTTTTAAATTTTTTAATATCATAATTTTGATCATTTTTTTTTCTCAAATTTTATTATTTCCTATTTTTTTATTTTGTATTTTCTTCTTTTTTTTTTTGTTATTTTTCTTTTGCTTCATTTTTCTATTTTATTTTTTTAAACAATTTTTTTTTTTTGAGAAAAGCTTAACAAAATTGTTAAAATTTGAAGAGAAATGGTTAGCAAGATCGACGACTAGGTTGACAATAGGTTGCTAAGCGGCTTTTATGAATTCAGGACAACGACAGCTGTTGCGTCAATGTATCATAGTAACAAGATGTGATACATGTCGAAGGATAGGGAAGAGAGTAACTTTTACAGTGACCGCTTTATTGTGTCCCATCAATTCCTCTTTTATTTCGGGTTGATTGATGGGTAACATTATTCATATACACCTTACCCTTTTCTTACCCCTGTCTCCCTTATTCTACCCATCTTATTTCATTCTACATCATCATCATCATCATCACTTTTGCTACTACAAATTAACTTTATAAATCCATTAAGACTTATTTTAGCTTTCAATGCTTTGATGACACCGATTTACCCCACTGAAAATATAGCAAAAAGAATTAATTCATAAATACAATGACTTCATAAAAAGGCAAAAGATATAAAAAGCCATTTGGGAAAGTTAAAAGTTTAACAGGAAAATCGGAAAAGCTACTACACACAATCCATAAATGAATTATGAATTACTTCCGGAAACTATTTCAGCATGTTATTCTTTAATATTTTTACTTAGATTAATATCAGAATAATCACTGATAAATTATTACTGACAAAAAAAAAAAAAAAAAAAAAAAAAAAACCTTTCTCATATTATAATAATATTTGACAGTTTCATTTATCAACTTTTTAATTAAACAAAAATTTTACGTTTTTTTTTTCTTTTTTAAACAAAAATATTTATCATTAAAAATTTTCAATATTTATTTCAGTTTCTATATTTCTTTTCCTAAATATAATTTAAAAAAAAAAAAATACAAAATATAAAAAATGTAGGAAAAAGCAAAGGCAAAAATAATTTAAATATTTATTACTATTATTGTTAATAATTAAATACTAATATTATTTGAAGAAATTTAAAATTATTATTAGCATTATTTAACAATTATTTTTTTATTTAACAATGCTATCATTTAATAACAAAAATTTTAATTCCTAATTAATATATTAATGAAAAATTAATAATGTAACAGAAAAATATTTGTTAATATTTGCATTTGTACTAAATTTTGAAATTAACTAATTTAGCTCATCTTTTCAAATCTTTTTCTTCGGTTTTTTTTTTTTTTTCTTTCTTTTGTTACTTTTGAAAATTGTTGAAGGAAATTTGTTAATGTCAAAAAGATGTGTATAAATACATAATGCGCCATGCGAAGAATGTTGTAACGAGAGTGATGATGAGTTGAGTTGAGATGAGCGGAAAGAAATTAGAATTGAGAATAAGTTGAGGGTTTCCTGAGAGTGTTAAAAGATTGTCAGGGAAATGGTGGTTTCACGACTTCGAAGATTAATGAAGCAACAATGCTTAAACATCATCCATTACACGAACAGTTGCTCTAACTAATGCGCTTTAGTTAATTGATCATTGATAATGTTAATGATAACAGTGATAAGGAATGACAATATATGATACTATATATGTATTACTTTAAGGGACTGAATATTCCACCTCCTTTTTTTTTTCCCTCGAATATTTAATTTCTTTAAAAAAAAAAAAAAAAAAAAAAAAAGATTTAAATTACTTATTATTACTATTTGTAATATAATATTACTTTCATACATATGAATTAATTAAGAAAAATGCAATTGTAATTAATTGCAATTATTGATTTAATCGAATTATTATTCTAATAAATTTATAGGTTTTTTTTTTTTTAAAAAAAAAAGAAATAATAAAACAAATTTGTTTGCACATACATAATTCAATTAATTTAATTTAAAACATTAATACCAATTAAAAAAAAAATGATTGGAATGAATTAAATTGTATCAAAAATATTATTAATTTAACAAAAATTCCAGATTTTCACTTTTAATATTATAACTTAATAAAGCTTCGCTTCTTTTTTTTCTTTTATTTTTTTCGCTAAAATTTTCAAATAATAAACTTTACATACTTTTCTTCTCTCGTTTTCTCTCTCTCTTTTTTTTTTTTAAAAAAAAAACTTTTTGAACTTAAACGAAACACTTAATGATATCATTTTAAAAAGTGATATAACAAAGTTAGTAATGACTTGAAGGGTGCAACAAAAAGTGTTGTTATAGGTGCTGCCACACGGATTTTGGCAGGTTTTTCAACATTTTACAAAAAAATAACAAATGATTAGAAATTGTGTTAGCCAAAGTGATTTATGAATGGTGAAGAAATGAAATTTGATATTAAATTTAAATTTATTTTTTTTTTTTTTAAGTGAAAAAAAGAAGAAAGCAAAATCATTGGTGGAATTGCTTTGTTATTGTGTTTTAAAATTTAAACTAATTTCAACAATTTGTTACATACATAGAACAAAGGAAAAAAAAAAGAGCGAAATGAGAATAAGAATATAAATAAATTGAAAAATAAGTTAATCTCAGTGAATCATTAGCATTTTTAAAAATATAATTCAAATTAGTGCATTAATTTGCATTTAAATGAAATTTAAATATTTGTTTTTTATCAATTTATACGTAAACATTAAATGTAAGTTCTTAATTCATTTAAATATTATTCAAATAAAATGATTATAAATTACAATTCTTTATAAAACATATGTTAGACATCAAAATTTTTTGCACCATATTACTTAATATCAGAGTATAAAATGAAATAAAAAAAACGAAAAAATTTGATTAAATTAAAATTAAATAATTTACTAAATTTTAACAAATTGAATATTTGTTGCTTACAATTATATAAGTTTATTATTAAGTGACAAGTTGCCATTTTAAATTCAACGCTTGCATAAATATGTTTGTACGAAAAAAAAAATTTTAAAAATAATGAAATAATCAAATATATTTTTAATTATTTGACTTTCTCTTTTTTTCAGACTATTTTAAATTCAATGCATAAATATCAACCGCGGTTACACGTTGTCCGGTGCGCAGAGCTTATTAATTTACCATATTCAACTTTTCGTACATTTGTTTTCAAGGAGACCGAATTCATCGCAGTTACTGCTTATCAAAATGAAAAGGTTAATTTGTTAAATATGTTATTTTTACTGAAATAAATTAAAAAAAATTTTTTAAAAATCAAATTTTTTTATTATGCAATGAATTAAATTATACAATTAAATTTTACATATTTTCAATTAAATTCTATCAAAAATTATAATTTAGATTTTGTGCATTTGTTTTAAAAAGTTTTTTAAATTTCATTTATTTATGTAATATTTATTTCAATCTAGAGACAACATAACAAATAATGTAATCAATTCATTTCTAACTTATCCATCTGAAAAAATTTTTCCTTTCTATTTTTTACAGCTTTATTTTATTGTATTTATTTTTAGTTATCTTATTTCAGTTTTCCTGGTTAATTTCTTACTAATCAATTTGTTTAGTTTATTTTCAATGTTTCATCAATTGCTACAATTTTTTCTTTCTGCACCAATTGGTACTGTTGTGTTGTGCTTTTAATAGACATAGGACAAAACAACAATCAATCAACCAACTCGTAGTATATCCTTAATTAATTGTCTCATATTACAACAACCACTAATTACTCCTAAACCATTTTATACTGTTTGATGACAAGGCGTACACAAATTCATAATCGAAAATTTTATTAGCATAGCTCAATTTAAGTTACTGTGACCTTTCTAATTTAACATTCATTGGTCAACAGTCATAATGTTAATTAGCTTTACATAAATCGTTAAACAATAAGAAATTGGAATAATTTTATTTCTTTCAATAAGCAATATTAGCAAAATGATAAAACAAAAAAATTAATGGTAAAATATAATTTAAAATCATATTACTATGACTTTGAATAGAATTGCTATAATTTTTAAATTCAATTACACTAAAGTATGATCTATGCGAAATGAATTCGAATTAATATATTTTATTTTCAATATTTTATTATTTTTTTATTGATAATAAAAAATTTGTCCATTCATACAATCAAATTTATGCTGTAAAAATCAAATGCTTTAATATCGTATACCATCCAACCAATTTAATCTTTTTCTCATTATTGCCCTATTTTTTTTTGTTTTATTTGAAGAAATGATGAGTCATATACTATACTATATTGTTTATATTATAATTATATTATACTGTACTATACCGTTTGTATTATAATGATATCATACTGTAGTAAAATATTAATATAATTATACTATACTGTACCATACCGTACATACTATTATATTATACTGTACTATACTGTTATTAGCGTAATTATATTATACTGTACTATACCGTGAATATTATAATATACTATACTATATCGTTCATACTATATTATACTGTACTATACCGTGAATGTTATAATTATATTATATTATACTATAATGTTTATATTATACTATACTATATTTCCAAAAAATGGATTACTTTCATTTTTTATTACTTGCAGAGGAAATTTTAGAAAGTGTAAAATTTTCCTAACATCCATTTTATTCTACATTATGCATATACCTTTTGTCTTTTTTTCTTTCCCTTATCTCATTCTCCAATAATCTTTCCTATTCAATCGATTAACGAAATTTTGAAAATGTTGAATAATTAAATCGTAAAATCAAATGCCGCCAACAACAATTCCCATGCCGTCCTACCGATTATATACATACACACACACAAACAAACACATATATTTATCATATATTTTTAAATTGTTTGGTGACCATTGTGCCATTTGAATTGATCCTTTCCTCTCTTCTTTTGGCTAACTAAAAAATTCTTAAAATTGAAAATTACTACTTTACTGTACTACTATTATTACAACAACAACAATTATCATTTCCTTATCAATAATTATTTAAAAATTTCCAGAAAAAAAAACAAAATAAAATTTAAATATATTTAATCGAGAAAGAAAAAAAAAAAAAAAAAAAAACAATGATTCAACTAATGGAATATGTCAGGAATTTTTAAGTGGTAGAAAGAAAATGAAAAATGATTACATAATGATTCAGAATGAAATGCTAACAATAATCGTTCGTTTTTTTTTTTTTTCTTTTTTTAAATTAACTATCAAATCATTTCTTCTCTTTTATAGTCCTAAAAATTTATTAATTTATTTAAATAAAATTACATAAATTATCATTTCTTCCTCTTTTGCTTTATTTATTCATTTTTTTTTATTATTTGCAAATTGTGAACAAAAAAAAAAAAAAAATATCAAAATATACGAAATAATTAATGATGTAATCTTAAACTTTTATACTACCTTCTACACGTTTCAACGTCTAACTTAAATTACACTTTATCTATTCATCTTTTATTTCATTTATTTACTTTTGCTATATTTATTGGAAATAAACATTAGATTTACCAGTTTAATGCATTTATTGTTTACCTATGGATGAATAATAGAATAATGATTATTTCCCATCTTGGAATTATTTATCATTGACCGCAACCGATTTTCCTTCCGCTTTCATTTGCATTCGTAAGCAAATAGGAAAGCCTAAAAGTTTACTAATTTTAATCGTACTGTAATGTTTTCGCTTTATTTCACTATATTTTAGTTATTTTGTTAACTTTTTCTCTGCATAACAATTCTTATTTTAATTAGTAAATCAGTAAAGAATTAAGCAAAAAGAGAGAGAGGACAACGAGGTGAAAAGATTGAAGAAAAAAAAGGATTCCATTTTTTGATAGATTTTATAAAAGTTTATTATGTTTTTATCTTTTTTAAATTACAATAATAATTATTATTATTACTATTAGAAAAAACGAAAAGTAATGAATGATTGAAAAGGATGAAAAAAAGTAGATTTGAATTTTAATAGTATATAATAGCATTTCTTTAAAGATTTCTACAAACATTTTAAAATATGTTTATTTTCATTCTTATTTGTTTTTTATCACTTTCTTTTTCCCCCTCTCTCTCTCTCTCTTCACAAATTTATCTTTATAAATTATATAATTAGAACAAATTTTTATTATTAATTTTAATTCAAGCTGAGCTATATATACATATATCAATCGTTAATAATGCATATTGGCTTACCGTATTTTTTCGTTGTTGACATTTCCAACTGTCCTTTCTTCCTTTTGTCATCTTTCCTTTTTTTTTTTTTTTGATGCAAAAATTGAGAAATAATTTTCCGAACTGCATAAAATAAACCAGTTTTATTGTCGCTATCTTTTAACTCATTTTTCTTCTTTTGAGCTTTTTCTTTATAAAATAATCATTTTAATGATTAAGATTACAAACTATACTAAACTATACTAGTGATAAGCGATAGGTATAATTATTTTGCAAGAAAAATGTTTAAATTAACCACTATATTCATTACATAATGCTAACACTGATAATAATGCTAAACAAAAATTGATGCTGAAAAATCACGATATGAGGTGATAAAATTTAGAAAATTCTGATGTATGATAATAAAGATAAGACTTGGATATCTTTTTTTTCTGATTATCACAGTGAGCACTTGCTTTGTTTTTAATGACCATAAGTCTTGGAAGTAAACATACAGTAATAATAATAGTAATTGATAAGATTAGAAATAATAATGGTAAGAATAAAAATAGTCATAATATTTTCATATCAGCTATGATAATGAGAAATAAAAGTAACAATAAACTAGCACAGTGATGAATGTTAATTACTACTATTATCACTTTTATCAGTTAATTTCTTTTTTACTACTCATATCATATCACATATATACGATCTATTTTTTCAAAAATGATACTTTTATGATCTCATATTAGTGATATTTTACTGATAGTATATTATCTTGATAGTATTTATTATCTTAGTGATAGTACTTATTTTAGATAATTATTTTTATGATTCATTTAACATTACTGTAGTTGTGGTGATAATAGCAATAGTAATGATAACAAAGGTTAACAGTTGTAGTAGTAGTAATAGTAAAATCAATTTGCATTCCATCTGTAAAGGTTAATTTTATGATGTATGTTGTCGCTGTAATTCTTCATATAAAGAGAACATATGTTATCAGCTGTGCACAATAACCAATATAATTTCTTCATATTAATCTTTAATTTTTCCATCTAAAATTTCAAATTTAATATTTGAATATATATATTTGAAGAATCCATTTTAAAAGTTGTTTAAAAAAAAAATACATTTAAAATTTTTATTTAAATGAAAGAAGTTAAAAAAGAGATTAGTTAAATTTGAATAAAGAAAATATATGATTAAATAATAAAAATTAATTAAATAAGATTTTGTAGATTAGCAAATTTTTGCCTTTTCTTTTGCTTCAATCATTTATTTATTTAATTATTTTTACTTTGTTTACAATTTTTACATTTGTTTTTTGCTTTATTGAATTATTTTAGATCAATTACTACAATACTAAAAATTGATTAATATTTAATAAAAAAATTTTTTTTAGACAAATAAAAAAAAATATAGCATAAAGTATTGTAATTTTAGAGATATTAACAAATTCAAAGCACTTGAATTAAATTTATTTATTTATCCATTTTTTTTTTTTTTGTTGAAATGTTTGTATTTATTTTTCTATTGCCAAAAAATAATTAGTTTTAAGACGGAAATGATTTTGTTTATCAAATGGTTGTAGTTAATCAATTTTAAAGTCTACCTTTTTGCCTAATCTAATCTATAAGATAAAATGAGAAAGTAAAACCGGAGCACTGATTTTATCATGCCCATTCATCTTATCCGGTCATCTACCTTCAACAGGTATACCAACCCATTAAAACAAATTGATTAACGGTTAAATCGTCCATTTAAAAAAAAAAAAATCTTATTATTAGTTAGGCTATTGATACTTCAATAATTTAAATTTTATATCAATTATAAAAGCTATTGATACTTCCATTTAAATTTAATAATGAATTATAAAAATCAAAATTTAATTAATTTACAAATTTACAAATGAAATAAGATAAAATTGTAAATTAGAAGAAATAATTTAATTGAATTATTAACATTTCATTGTGACTTTGTTTGCTACTCTCTTCTTTCTATGAAAGAGAAAAAAACGAGAAAGAGAGAGAGAAAAGGAAGAAAAAAGAAGAAATTTCTAGCAATTCTTACATTCCATTACATTTACTTCGATCTTTTCTTTTTGTTATAAATTTCATACTTATATTTTTTGGCTGTATTTTAAATTTATAATTGTATTTTATAATTAATTTACTTTTAATTAAGTTTTTTTTTTCCTCTCATTTCTTTTTCATCTTTTTTGAATTTTTTTTTTTGTTTTTGATAGTTGACTTTTTATTGTGTCAGTTAGAATAAATGAACTGTAAACAAAAAGATAAACTTAAAAAAAAAAAAAAAAAAAAAAAAAAAAAGAATGAATGAATGAAAGAATTTGGATTAAAAAGATGGAAGATTATTTCACATACCAAAGGAAACGGAAGTGAAAGAGACATGCTAAAGAATATTAGCTTTAACACGAAATAAAGCTGATATAAAATTAGTTCGAAAAATGAAATAAAAGTCTTATTGGTTCTTCTCGATTCATTTTATTCATCATCCTTCTCACCCTTTTTCCTATTCTCGAATGGTATACGGTGTATTTAAAATAACAGAAGGTTAAACTGAAGCTTCGGAAGAGGAAAGCAATTCCAGTGGGAATAGGCAATTGAATAAAAGGAAGTGGTAGTTTTCCAAAATTGTCAATTCATTTTAGCTGGGTAAAAGTATTACATTGAGGGTATTTTCACTACTTTTGGGCAAGAAAGTGAGTGTATACAACAAATGTAAGTATAATTATCTATTAAACATCATTACTACTACTGTTAAGCTTAATAGCAAAATGATTTAAATAAAATGTAAATGCTTTTATTGATTTCATATATCAAAATTTGAAGAGGGTATGATAATTTGTAATAAAAGTATAATTTTCTTTATATTACATTTATCTATCTATCTATTATACTGTGCTATTATGAAAAGTTATAAATTTAATAAAAAAAATAAAAATTAAAAGATTGAAATTATATTTAAAGAGCAAAAATAAACCAATCAATAGTTACAGTAAAATAGATCAAATAGGAAAGTAAATAATTAATTCAATTAATTATTTATTGCATTTAAAAAATGAAACAATCTATCATTTATTATCATCATTACTGTTCCTTTTTTCTCTTTTTTTTTTCAATAATTTATCATTCAGAAAATTAATATTAGCATATATACTTTTTTTTTTCATTTGAAATTCAAAATATAAAAATTTTGATTCAAAATTTGACGAATTAAATTATGCAAAATAAAATTATTATGTGCATAAAATGTTTTCAAAATTATGATTTAATGTTTTTTTAATCAAATGTTTATTTTTTCATATATTACTAACGTTTGCAAATATTTTTTGAATGATATAATCATGCATTTTGAATTTTTTTGTAAGTTTAACTTTACCACAAATTCAAAAATAGCATTATTTTGAAATTGGCAACATTTTTTCCTGATTGATTGTCAAATATTCACTAATATTATTAATTTCAGGTTATAATTTAAATGAATGATAATGTTAGGCAAAAATATTTCTAAACCTAAAATTTAGGATGATATTTTATAATAGAAAATCAGAAAAATTATATTTTCTTTTTCATTTGCAGGTAACGCAACTTAAAATCGATAATAATCCGTTTGCCAAAGGATTCCGTGATGCTGGTGCCGGAAAACGTGAGAAGAAACGGTTACTGAATAGAACGGAATGTAATGCAGTCATTACTGGTATCTCGTCGAAATCGGTGATTTCCCTGAATGATGATCCTGCAACATCGGAATCACCAGCTGCACGAGCTGGTAGCTCAATGGATTCAGATCGTTCTGATGACGATGACTCATCGCCACTTCCAAAACGAACTCGAAGTAGTCAAAGTACTACCGATGATTCATTACAAAATAAGAATAATCACCTATCCCAGAATCATAACCTTCAACAACATCTTCAATTTCTACAAAATCATCGACTACTAACCAAAGATGCTGCCAATTTTCAATTGTTTCATCCGGGTTGTATCGGAGGTGGTGGTGGTGGTGGCGGAGGAAGCGGAGGCGGCGGTCCGCCACCACCACCACCACCACCACCATCTCATTTTGCACCATTCTTTCAACATTACGGGTTTCATCCCGCTACAGAATTTTTCTTTCCTTCTGCTCCTTTTCCTCGTGATTTTTTAATGCATCAAGCGGCAGCTGCTGCCGCTGCTGCGGCGCAATTTTCTCCCTACCTACTTCGACCATCTCTAACCGCTCCACCACCACTTCCTACTACACCTCAGACAATTAATCCATCAACAGTTGTTACTCCTGCTTCCGTTACTGTATCGCAATCGCTACCACCGATGATTGCAACTACCGTTATTCCGTCAAGCACTAATGGTATACCATCATGTCCAGTTTCTACAACAAGAAAATCGGTAGTAGCTCCTAAAAAAGGAGGATTCGATGTATCTGATCTCCTTGCTTAATCGTGATATTTCTAAGTAATTTTCTTGTTCATCAAATGAATTCTTATTTATTATCATAATTTTTCGACAAAAAAATGATGCAAATAAGGTTAATACATAAAAAAAAAAAAAAAAAAAAGACAAGAATGTTTGAAATTTGAAATTATTTTTTGTAAGTTAAAAAATGAAAAGAAAAAGAAGAAGAAAGCTGTAAAAATTAGCTAGGAAATTAACTGACATATCAATTATTTTCATTTATGATAGCAATTTGAATAGAAAATAGCAAAACATTTGTTGAAATGATAAATTAGCACTATCATTTTCTAATACTTTTACAATTATGGTAACATAATAAACTGAAAAATGTACAAATATTAATTGTAACTAAAGAGTAATTTTCTTTTTGAGCATTTCAAAATTTCAGATTATCGATTTGTTCATTATCTTTCTATTTTGTTGTCAATTGCACAAATCGACGGTTTGTAAAGATAGTGTTAAATCATTTACAACAACCAAAAAAAAAAACTTTAAAAAACCAAAAAAAAAAGAAGAAAAACGAAGCTCAGATAAGGAATAAAAAATTTTTGCCAATTACTTAGTTATTTAAATGATTAAACAATTTTTAAAAAATCTTTTTTTGAAAAAAAAAAAAAAAAAAAAAAAAGAAATGCAATGCTCATATAGCTTTACTGTTTATAAGAAATGTGTTCATTTTCTTTTTGTATTTGGTTATTCATTCAACAAAAAAAATGAGAAGAAAAAAAAAAATTTTTTTTACAAAAAAAATTAAATATCATTTTTAATTGTACACATGAAATTGCATTAATGAATAATTTCTTGTTGCTTTCATTTTGTTTGTTTCATTTTATAGCCATAAATTTTAATAATAATAATAATGTATTAAGTAAAATGTTATACAAAATAAATGAAATAAAAAAGAAGAAAAAAAAAAAAAATTCACTATAACACAATATTAAACATTTTCTTCCATCAGCAATATAATATGTAAATGTTCTTTTTTTTTTTTTCTTTTTCACATTAATTAAAATATTTAATTTGAATTTAAATTTTAAAATTATTTTTCTGAAAGAACAAAAAAAAAAAAAAAAAAAAAAAAAACAATTTGTACCTCTGTCTTTTTCTTTCTTTCGTTTTTCTTCTCAATTTTATTACAATTAATCCCTATAAAATTTAGCAATTGATGAAAGTAATCAAATACTTCTAACATTTCATAGTATATTATATCATTTCAAATTTATACTTGTTATATTAGAGCATCTGAGAATATATAAATAATCAGTGTTGCTTTTATAAGTTGATACTTCTACTCTGAAGCAATAAAATATCCAATTTCAAATTTACATAAATTTTGATGGTTGTGGTAGCAATTCAATGTATAACAATCTCTCTCTCCCTCTCTCTCTCTCTCCCTCTCTTTCTCCCTTTCTTCCATAGATTTTGTTTATTTATTCGCTGAAACATTGTGTACTCATTCTCGAGTACCAAGCTAAAACATACACTCACACACACACACATACATACACATACAAATAAATACACTTTCTTTGCGCACATTGGTTATTATAATATACCGTAAAGCTTTTTCAAGTATTTCCGGGAAAAGTGAAACAAGACAAATAAAATATCAATAGTAACCTGAATACTTTATCATAAAAGTTAACGCTTTAAGAATATAAACATATTTACATTTTTTAGAAATGTTTTTTCGAATATTTCTAGAATATCCGATATCATTGTATTTTAACTTGATCAAGTACCATTAATCCATTAGTCAACCTGTAAAATATCATCAAAAAACTGCTAACAAATATTTTTTAACCATAAAAACTTTAGTAATATTATACTTTAGCAATGGATGGGAAAAAAAAAAAAAAAAAAACAAAAAATGCAATATATTTTTTGTCAAAATATTGAAAAGAAAAAGTAAAGATATAATTAATATATGAAATGAAAATAATTTATATAAATTATTTTGTTAATTAATTTTTTTTTTTTTAATAAATCAAATGTATTACTAATTAATAATACTATCAAATTGTTACTAATAATTTAAAAATAATTTTGTAAAAAATATTTGAGCTTTTTTTTTTTTCTTCATCGTTTGATTTTTAATTATTAATTGCAATAAGTAAATTTGCGCGAAATTTTTAAAATATTGTTGCATTTTTATACTTTCATTAAATTACATAATTATTTTTCATTTTTTTTTTTTTTAATATTTTCAATTTATTCTTTAATACAATGTATTAATAGCAATTTGATAGTATTATTAATTATTAAAAAATACTAATTAATAAATTTTAATATTAAACTCACACTATGCTATTATTTTAAACATTTTTTAACAATAGAAGAAAAAATTTTTTCAAACAATAGTTTATTAACAAATTTTAAATAATAATTTGATTGTTTCATATATCAATAATTTAAAATGAAAAAAAAAAAAAAAAAGAGGAAGAAAGATTGATAAATAAATAAATTAATAATTATATATCAATAAATAGAAGAAAAAAAAATAAATAATTAATAAACAAAAAAAAAAAAAAAAAGAAACGATTAGTATTTTTGGTTTCTTTTTTCTCTCTGAATTACTGTCAAATATTTTGATACAATGTTTTGATCATTTCTGTGACACTAAATCAATCAATCTATGAAATGATGACTGTCACATAATTACAGGATAACAATGTTAAAGAGATGGGAGAGTGTAATTGAGGGAATAAACTTAAATAATCAAATGTTTGTAGGTTCAAAAAAAGGAGAGAGAGAGAGAGAGAGAGAGGTACATAATGGCTGTGAAAGATGTCACCTCTGCAAAGAGATTACTCTTTTCATTTTCTAACTTTTTTCCCATCTTCAAATTTTCATCTTTTTTTTTTTTTTTTGTTCTCTCCAAATTACTTGTCAACCTTTTTCCTTTCCTTTCCTTTTTTTTTTTTCACTCAATATTTAATCTATAATAATGATTATTACTATAAATTATCATGATTATCGTTTAATATCGATTGAATAATAATACTAATATATCATGATAATTATTTTCTAGATATTTTATTCTTTTTTCTCTCTCTCTCTCTCTCTTTCCCTTTCTTTTCTCCTCTTCGATTATATTTATTAATAAATTTTTCCCTATATATTGTTCAACATTACATACCATATACTATCAGCAACTCCTGTTACAATATTGTCTCATCAATGATGACCGCTCGATCTACCGTATATCATAAATATAAAATATTTCTCTCTCTCTCTCTCTCTCTCTCATCTTTATAGAATGTAAATTTTTTCAAATGAAGAAATTTTGAAAAAAAAAAAAAAGCAAAATAAAATAAAAAAACGATTATTAATTAAGTCAAACAATAAGAAAAATTTAAAAAATAAAAACAAACAAAAGAAAAGAATAAAATAATAATAATAATAATAATAATAGCAATAACAGTGACAAAATAATAATAAATAATTATTATTAATTATAGCTATAATAATTGTGTTAAAACAATAATAATTTATCATAAATAATTTGAAAGAATCATTTTCAATTATTCGATGAATTTTTTTTTTCTTTTTCTTTTTGTTCATTGTTCTGTATTATTGACATAATCATCCCTCCCTTCCTTTTCTTTTTCACTGATAAATTATCACCATATATCTTTCCATCTCTCTATTTCACAATCATCCCAACTGATATAACCTTATCATTATCATTATTTCTTACTCATCATCTTATCATTATCACTATTCCTTATTCATGAATCTTTACTATCGCTACAATTATAATGTTACCACTTTTTTCAGTTGCAATTTCGACTATTTTTAGATTATGCAATCATGAATAATTGATTACATCTTGTACCAAATATTTAATCATTTTCAAATTTTAATTATTTTCACCAATTTTTCACCTCAAAATAGCATTCAAGCATTTTGAGTGTTAATTGCATTTTCATCACTCATAATAATTGAACGAATTTTTGCATCAAAAAAAGATTGAAAAATTATGAACGATCACAAATTTATCAGCACAAATATAAACAAAATGAATACATAAAGTACGATGAAATAATCAGAAATGAAATTAATTATCCAAAAATACAAATTAGCTAATCAACTAATTAACTAGTCATTTAAAGTGTAAAAAAATCATTAAACTAATTAACCAAAATATATCATTCAGGTATTTATTTATAATTTTGCGAATGAAAAAAAAAAAAAAAAAAGAAAAAAGAAAGCATCAAATGATAAGATATACCATACACAAATTGTAATCAGCATAATTAATAATTAATTATGCAAAAACTATATTTCGAATCAAAAATTGTTAAAACAGACATCAAATTAAAAAAAAAAAAAAAAGAGATAAATGAATGTAATTATTCATTTATAACTTTCATATAAAGCTTATAATGATAATATCACATAATCATTAAAATGTAAATGGAAACAAATTCCTGAACAATAATCAGAATTAAACATATTTGAATTTAATTGTACAAGTAATTCTTATATGATGTATTAAATTTTAACTAAAAATTTCAAAAGGAAAAGACAATAGATAAGATTGTATATTCATGAAATAAAAAAAAAAAAAAAAGATATAACAGAAAATATTAACAGAAATATACATTCAAGATCTGTACGATTCAGAAGCACTGGAAACACGAGATGATCGTAAATTAAGCGCTTCAGGCGCAATTGCACGAACAATAGTTGACATTTGCATATTACTCTGTCTTAATTGATTACAACTAAGTGTTAATGCTTTATCACTTCCCAAAATAGCCCAACAAGAATTCTGATAGTTACGACAATATATCAGTAGTAATACTTCAACATCAACCTGATCACAACAACCATATTCTGCACCAAATTGTTGTCTGCAAAATAATATTTATCAAATTAATAGATTATATATGTCATATATTTTTTTTTTTTTATCATTTGTATCATTTATCATTTTATCATTTGCAAAACGTTACAGTGTTTTTTTTTTTATAAAAAAA